TCGACCACCTGGGGTTCTTCAACATGCGCCCAAACTTGAGCACACGGGCCTACAGCATTTTCGCCTTCATCGAAAATGCAGCCGCAGCAGCCGGGATTCAATCCCGCCACCTGCGGGTCAGCAGCCGCGTACCTTAGCCACTAAACCACCGCGGCGGGGCCACGTGCGTGTCAATATTATGCCATAAAGTGTCAGAGAAGTCAACTCAGCGGAGATAAAAGGTGCCTATAGCTCCTTCTATCCTTAGCAAGAAATAACGGACAACGAAAATCTAAACGAAACGAGAGTGAAAGAGCTCGGTTTTCAGCTGCATATGGCACACACTTCCCAGTTCCCAGCTTTGATTTCTCCGGCTCAGAACATGAGCGGTTCCGAATTGCAGCGTGTGCAGGCCGAGATCAATTTCGAAGCGGGCCGCACAAAGGAGAGAGTTAACAGGAGCCACGTGTACGATCGGCGGGTCGCCGGCTGATTGTTGCCTCGCACCCTTTTTTCCTGCTCATCAGACATTCTAGCTTGTGGCTACGGGGGAACGAAACATGAATTTCGAGACGGAACAGAATACGAAGCGAGTATGGCCAAAAGCGAATGAAACACTTTTACGGCAGTTCTTGAACACCTGTCTATTTATACAGCTACGACTGTTTTTTTTTATTCTTTATAGTATTGCTTGTTTTCGCGTCTTTCTTCAATACAAGAGAGTTTTAGTACTGCAGAATGGTGCTACGTACGCATCACGCAAGCGTCTTGCGTTACGTGGCGTCGTTTGCCACTAATCGGCTTTTAGTACGCCGTAGTACCCGCGTACGTAACGAGCGTGAAGCGTGTTGCGCCATCTGGTAGATCGAAATAGAAGCACGTGTTGTTGACAGCCAATGTGAGCCAATCCAAGTGTTATAGCCAGATTATGGCCATATTTTAAGCCACAGAGCTGGTCGGTGCTTCCCTTCGATGCCACCATTTTGCAAAACAAAGTCCCGCGCTGTCGCGAACTTGTTCGAGAGTGGCGCGATCACCTGATACGTACGCACGCACGCATCTCATGCGTGCGTACGTAGCGGCTGCGTACTTAATGCGATACATGCGCGTTGCGGTCTGCGCATGCGCACTACGCAGAACGTGGCGTTCTTACGTACGCAACGCCGCCACGTACGCAGCGTACGCAGTACTAAAACTCTCTACAATGTCTTGACGTAACCTGCTGAACAATGTACTATCAGCGTCAAATGAAACCCGAACATCGGCAAGCCTTCTCGACGGTACAGTGCACGCCGTCCACTTATCACTACGAACAGACACGCATATGTGCGCAAAGCTGCTGAACAGGATGCGCGCGCATGTCAGTGGTGATAACTGGACGCCACGCACTACACTATCGCAAAGGCTTGCCGCTGTTTGATTTTCATATGGCTCTGATAGTACATGCAAGTCATGTGTTGTGGCAAAGTTACGCCCGCGGAAATGATTTTTTTTTCTTACTTTTGCACCTATTTGGCATCCGTTTAGGCGAAGATGTTTTTTTGCCGTACCTGCTAACGAATACTCGCCATTCATTCCCGAGACTGAATTGAACAAGCCATTCACTATTCCGTTCGATATTCGTACTTTTCGAATATTCGCGCGCCAACAGCTTCGAACGATACAGCAACGGGCTAAGTATTGGCGACGAACGGCTGGTTCTCTGTGTCGTCAGGTCTCACAGCTGCAGTGTACTAAATAAATAAAATAAATAATGATCACTGCGCAAGATGCTGCAATCTGTCACAAGAAAATGGGAAGCGGGGTGTGCTACAGCTGGACTGTGGGCGCCTCATCTTTCTTTTTTTTTTTCTTACTTCTGCACCATGCCACACCTTGAGGAGCTACAGCCGGCACGCGGCAGGTTTCACAGCTTTTGATTTGCACCTTCGATCGGAAAGGTGGTCATCGCTGTAAAATTGGCGGTCACCTCCGCACCGATCGGGTCCCGCTATGTGTAACTGCACTGCAGTCGAGTACGGCATTCGCAGACGAGGGAAAAAAAAAAGGTGTATCGTACGGTACACGGTAAACACAGACAACGCTTCGCCAGCGCGTTCACGTCTCCCTTCTGTCGCGACAGCGGGCACTCCCTGCGCTAGACGCGGGCAACGAAGAAACGAAAGCAACAAAAACTAACGAAAAGAAAAATCAGGAACGGGGCGCGCTTTCACCTGCTTGAACGCTCGAGCGGTTTCTTTGTCTCCCAGCAGCGAAAGCAGGCGGGAAGGCTGGAATCGGGGGGTTGGTGGTCGCGTGGTGTTCTACAGAAGGATAGGAGGTGGGGAAAGGGGGGGGGGGACAGGGAGGTAAGCACTGCATTGAGCGGCTAGTTGTTGTATGGGAGGGCATCTAAACGAGAGTGAGAGTGGGGCGCACAGTCCCCGCTGACACATTGAATAATGCAAGCCGGCCGGTCGACAGACAGGGCAGCAGCGGAAGGGAGCCAGAAATAACAGGGGAATACGTTAATGGGCGCCCCTTGCCAGCCCCAACGCCGCCATCAGCGCTTACCTGGCCGCTTGCTAAGCAGGCTCGGGAACCGCACCGCAGAAGGCGCCGGGTGTTGCGGAGCAGCCGACACACCAGGGGGAGGACTGCGCGAAGTGGGGAATCCGCTGGCCGATGCTGGGGTTTGAAGCCGAACGCGAGGCGCCGAAAGGGACACTACCGCGGATGAACTGGGGCAGCGCAGATTTTTCAGGGCGGAAACGAACGTACGCGAGAATGCAGAAATGAAGAAAAGCTAGTTAAAACGGGTGACGCACATCGGCAAAAAAAAAAAAAAAACGCGGTAGTCTCGCCTCCCGCCCTTCCCTTCTTTCCGCTCAATTCGTGGCGTTGATTGCGGCTTTGCTGGGATTTCGAGCAAGGCCCGGCTGTTGTCCCCTGTTGCGATGCGTATGGTCTGTCTACTGCGCAAGCGCACTCAGACGCGCTCCCGGCATCCACCGGAGTATAGTTGCGTCTTTCCGCGATACTGCCGTGTTCACACTGTGAATCGGGAGGCGCGAAGGAGGGAAGAAAAGAATACAGGCTGCCTTGTGACGTCATTGTTCGTTGGGTAGAAAAATCATAGCGTGATTGATACCACGTCTATTTTTTGAAAACGAAGTTGATGTTCTTGCTCTTTTCGCTCTTGAACAGCCAAAAATTCGGTATAGGGCACAAAAACGTTATCTCGCATCTGCCGATTGAAATCTGCGCCCAAGGTTAGGAGACTAACCCCCCGTATTCACAAACGCTCCTCGACTCGACTTCCACCCTTCACTTGACAGAGTTGAGCACTGCGCCACTCCTCGGCTGAAAATGACGCTGCGCTACTCAAGAATCATAGCAGATTATCGCTGATATGCATTGACTTGCCGTGCCTAGAGACGGCGCTCCCATCGGCTTTCTCGAGTGAAGCTGAAGCGTTGAGTGAAGGGACGTTCTAGAATACGGGGGTAAGCTACAGGTATCGTTTAGTTCAACACTTCGTTTTTTCACACGTACCGTAATTCCATCGCACAAAAGTATCAGCATACGCGTCGATGCTCGATTGGCAAGTTATCCTACTGTGACGTGGGCCATGGTACATATACACTAATCATTCGTTTTATTATTAGTCATTCGTTTAAAAGAAAGCGCCGAGCAGCATTTTTCGGTCGCGTGGACTTACTGATTGCAGCTTTATGCGCAGATGTGAATAAAGCTGCAGCGTGACGAATATTGAGAACCGTCAGGCAATCGGCAACACCCCTCGCGCATTATCAGCCTCGGAGACATTGCCCTCACTATAAAAAGAAGAGAGTAAAAAGGGTGTACTTTTGTCCCACAGTAATAATCATCATTGGATAGGCTTCAGCGCAGTTTAGACGAAGACCATAGAAGACACACAGAGCACAGACGAACGATGTGTGTCACCTATGGACTTCGCCTAAATTGCGATGAAGCCTATCCAATTATGTACCAACTCGCCCAAGTCAAACCCCCGTATTCAGAAACGCTCCTCGACTCCACTTTCACCCTTCACTTGACAGAGTTGAGCACTGTGCCACCACTCGGCTGAAAATGGCACTGGGCTACTCAGGAATCGCAGCAGCTCATAGCTAATATGCAGTGACCTGTCGTGACTAGAGACAGCGCTCCCATCGGCTTTCTCAAGTGAAGGTGGAGCGTTGAGTGAAAGGACGTTCTTGAATACGGGGGAAAGTGTTTTTGGAGTAATCATCAGCCGGCCTGCTTGCGCTTGCTTTCTTGAAAACTCGCCACTTTCCTATCAAGACTGATATGTCACGCTGATAACGAGCATGTCGTTCGTAACCCGAAAGTATACCGGGTGCGCGCTGATAGCGCAGAAAAAGGAATGCAAGATAGATGGCGATTATGATTGCGGGACGAAAAGACGCCTTTTTTACTCCATAGGTTTTTTTTTTGTTGTTGTTGTTGAATGCTCCTGTTAGGGGTTTTCATACAGTTTCGGTTCGCAAAAAAGCAAAGCCATCAAACTGAATGACAATCTAACTGATGCATGTCAAGCAACTTTTTCGCCAAAAAATGCGTGAACCTGGCCTGCATCCCCTTAGGTTCTTGTCTCCGATATTATCGTGCAGAGAAAACGAAAAAAGGAATAAGGCATAACACATTTCAGGCGTAATATATAACGTTGGAAATGACTGTGATGATCCTTGATTATAGTGCACACTCTTCCCATTCCTCTTTGTTGTGTTAGTGACAAATATATGAAGCAAATTTCTGTAAGCTTTATAGAAAAAAATTAAAAAAATGCATGAGCGCAAACACAATAAGAAGAACATTGGTTTGACATCGCCACCTGTTTTAAAGCCGCTTTATTATTATTATTATTATTATTATTATTATTATTATTATTATTATTATTATTATTATTATTATTATTAACATAATAATTGCTTTTTTTAGTTGACCTACCAGAGAAAGCACTTAATTGAGCATTATGATCCCGCTTGCTTTTTCTCCAGAGAATGCTCAGTACCTGGATAGGAATTTCACCGTGCGCTTTCGTTGCCTGCTGGACAACACCTCCGGTTTCTTGGTGAGTATGCTTTGCAACCTTCACTAGCATAATTCGTTTTCATAATAATACCGTATGCGTCTGTTTATATAGCTATGGCTGTGTTTACATGGATGTCACTGTATCGGTATTTGTCGCCTTAGCGCTCCTCAGTTTTGCCATAAAATTGACAGAATTTATATGCACCTGGCACAGGCACCGTCGCACGCAGCAAATTGTAATTTGTCCCCAGAAAATGTGACTGATTGGTGACTGGAGGAAACACGGGCAAACATGAGAATGTTTGCTGGAGTTGCGAGATAAGCCTTACCTTTAAGTTCATGTGTGCGTTCCCTATACATTTTACACCATGACTTATAGAGTAACTCTGAAACTTGCACCGATGCCGGCCAACGTTAAAGCGTCCCGCTGGGTAACGTAAAAAGCGCAGTCACACATTAAGCGTTTTAAAGTCTCATCTTATTCGCAGCATCCACGTCCAATAAGTTGCGGACTAGCCTATTGTACGAAATGTCAGTTCAGAGAGCCGCATCAACAGCTACAAGAGCTTTTTGGGCTTCCTGAACAGTACTGGACCTAACAATAAACTATTGAGAAGGCCACTGTGTTTCGGGGTTATTGTACATGCGCATCACCTCTTCCAGCCCTCCTCCTCCTCCTCCTCCTCCTCCTCATCATCATCATCATCATCATCATCTACATATGATGATCATCATCACCTTTTTCCCCTGTGGAGAGTAGTCATCACTATCATCTTCATTATTCTCCCACGTGCGGGGTAGTCATCATCATCATCGTCACCATGAACATCATCATCTTTCTCCCATGTGCAGAGTAGTCATCACGATCATCATGACCCTTTTCCCATGTAGTTATCATTCTCATCATCATCGCCCTTTTTCCCTTTCCCTTTTCCAGTGTGCAGAGTACAAAGCCAGAGCGCGCTATAGTTCAGGTCGACCTCCTTGCCTTCTAACAAATTCTCTCTCTCTTTAACAAAATCGAACTGCCTTCACGTGGCGCAGCAACACGATTCGCTTTCGCATAACGAATTGACGTGCCATGCGCTAACAAACGTGCTTTGCGCTACAAGTCATGTCGCATTTGCGCAATACGTCATCGCCGCGGCATATACCTTGCCGAGGTAGTTCTTATGTTACACATATGGCCGCTCACTCAACAAGTTGTGTTGTAACTCTTTTTCGTCAGCCGGACGATTTTTTTTTCTTCTGTCTCTCTTTTTTGATAGCGGAAAACATACGCAAACATTTAGCTGCCGCCCATGTTCTTTATACACGTCCCCACGAAACATTCATCAATATAAAACGTAACGAAGTAGAAAAGAAAAGAACTGCCTGTATATGTATTTTGTTGCGTCGGACAATGCTTGAATTACTTTGTACGAAAAACAAGACAAATATTCTTGCTTTTTATTATTTTTTATCAGTCGCGAGAACAAACCGAACGAACCCGCGCCAGAGAGGCATTTAAATGCACTCACTCCATGGTGCATTAGAGCATTTTCCTTAACGCGCTATTCCTTGGAGAAAAAAATATGAAATAAAGAAAGAAGCCCAAGGGGCTTCTTTCGTGGGAAAGGCCTCACCTCTTACCAAGTCCGGTCATTCTGACCGCGCGAGTCTTGGCCATAAAAGAGAAAACCGAAAAGAATGAAAATGCTTCAGATAAGAGCAGAATGGCCCCTACATATACTTGAACGTAAACAAAACAAAAAAGCAGCCCCTACATAAATGTAGTTGCGAAAAAGCATATTGCGATTATCACCCAAGTTTGCGCCGCACAGAAACCGCAACGATGGGAAATAGGAATAACAAATGGGGCTCTTTCAGGGAGGGGTTGCCCCCGTTTAACGGAACGTGCTACTCGGCCGCACTGCATCAAAAAGAGGGAGGCAGCAACAACATCACATTGTAGAAACGAAGAGAGAAAGAAAAGCCTTTCAGAGACCTCATAAGCGTGCGCACCTTTCTTACCTATATAAGGCCACAACCCTAGGGGGCACGGCGCGTTGGAAACCTCGCTAAATGGCACTCTACCGATCGCCATCGCCATCAGCGCGGACTTTCGCTTTTGCTTCCCGCTAGTTGGCTCCCATTTGTTGCTATTGTTTTCTCGTTTGCTTTGTTTCCCCCCGGCTACTAGGCTTTCACAAACGCTCGTGCAATCGTGATATATGTTCAAACGGGCAGGCGGCGTTCTTATTTTGCACAATTCATTCTTGGATTTAAACAGCATGTGTGATGGTAGCTTTCAAGTAACACTCTGCTAGCTTTCTTTTCGGACATGTAACCTCTGGCTCCAGCTTGTACCTGCTTTTTTCAATTTTCTTTTTCCTTATAGATTTATATCCGTTAGATGCTTATCTATCTATCTATCTATCTATCTATCTATCTATCTATCTATCTATCTATCTATCTATCTATCTATCTATCTATCTATCTATCTATCTATCTATCATGTGTCTGCCTGATTATCTCTCTGTCTATCTATTGTTTGCCTGTCTGTCTGTGTCATTGTCGTCGTATCTACTATCTTTTTTTTCACGTTGTTATCGTCAAAACAGATTCACATCGCCATATACGTCCAATTTTTCCTCTCTAAAATAATTCGCTTGCACTGTCATTTCACAGTTCTTTACCTTCATTGGCCACTTTTTGCCAGGCTGTAATCGCCCCCTCCCATTTATTATGGTAATGCAAAGCTTGCCATTGCGTAATGGTCGCGAGAGATGAAGAACCACCATTGCCTTTGGCAAGATGTAGCCATGACCTAAGCTGTAGTCATGGCCCGACAAATGACCGGGCACGGACGTCCCGTTCCGTTTGCGTATACCATGCGAATGCGTTCTGTGCGAGAAATGCCAGAGCCGGAAACGAAAGTAGAAGAGGAGTGGGAGTAGGAGATGAGTACTGGCGAAGAGGAGAAAGAGAAAAATAGAGAGAGGGCGGTTCAGCGTCCAGGTGCGTCCGTTAATGATTTATCGATAAATCTGTCCCGTCTCCGTGTGCACCGAAGAGAGAGCTGTATACTTGCGGCAGTAAGTGCGCGTCATCCATTGCTGGCGTTCATTTTGTTTTCTGTTTTGTTGTTTCTGTACCATCGCAATAAGCGAGAGAGTAACAGCAGTCGCCGTTGGCGGACGGTCTTTTGTCTTTCATCACGCTGTGCATGCTCATGTCCTCCATTTCCTGCGATCGCTGGTCGCTAGTTTCGGAGAGGTGCAGGCCTGATTACGTATTACCCGCCGATTCTTCCAGTCGTTCCACCTCCACATATCCAATTCGGTATCCACGAGACTTTCCTTTTTTTTATTTGTTCAATTCACCCTTTACATAAACTGAATTATTGCACTCGATGACAACAAGACAAGCAAGAGAGAGATTAGAGTGCGCACATGAGGAGAAGCCTGCACGGCAAAGAGGAAGACCCACATCTAGCGTGTAACGTTGAATTCTGGTCGTGTTTGTAACTGCACAAGCACTAACGCGAAGTCTGATGGATACCTTACCAATATGATTAGCAAGCAGGAAAATTTCTTTGATTTAGGGTTGGCTAACCGCGGGCGATGACTTACTACACTCCTAATCAAGTTCCGGATAAAGTGAAATTAAATAGCCTGGAAACTAAACAATAAAGTTCTAGTTTTCTAGTTATATCTAGCACTTTATGCGGCACCTGGTTAAGAGCGTAAAGGAGGTATCCCACTAGTCTCACTTTCACCGGCAGGAGGAGAGGAGGGAAAGGATAGGGAAAGGTCAGAATTTGAGAAGGATATAATCAGAAAAAAGTGGTACTGCGTATTCAGATTCGCTTGACTAGCTCCGCTGCTAGAAAACGAGTCGCGCTCAAAGCTCTCCCAAAGGTTCTCGTCTAAAGCGAGCCAAATAGTAGATATGTCACTATCCGCATTTAATTAAACCCGATCGTCGTCGCCACGCCAACAAAACCGCGTACATAAAAATAACAAATTTTGCAGCTTTCACGCATGCGAGCTGTACCTCAAGTCCTATACGCACTGTCACGTGAGGGTAAAGTTTGAGACTCGCCATATGGGGCAGTGTAGAGGATTTCCTATGAATACATTAGAGGGAACTCTTGAGCTATAGTGTCTTGGGAGCTGCAACGCACGGCGCTTCAGCCAGAATGGGAATGATGGGTAGTACACGGATTTGTCTAATATTCGTACTTAAGGCTCCGTTTAACTTCGCGTGGCTTGTAGCCGCTTTGTCACGAGAAGACAATCGGCAAATGTTCACCAGTTACGCTTCACTGCATTCACCGTATTAGGCTCACCAATTCAAATCGGTTCAAGAAGTACACAACGGTGAGTCCTTTTATTCGAAACAATAACAAAACACAGCAATAAAGGAAGCCACGGATGTGTTTTAAGGCGCAAGCGCGAAGACTAGGCAAATTTGTGTGCTACCCATCATTCCCATAGTGGCTGAGCGATCACAGCGCCCAAGTCCCATCTAGTTGATTTTAGGAAACTCCGTGGGGGAGCGCACTCTGTCAGCGTTAACTGAAGAGTGGTTGTACACAAATGGACATTTTTGGGGCAGTCACCATGGAGCGTCTAGCAAAGACTCTAATACGTCGTCGTTCCACTGCCAGCGGCTGGACATCCAGGGCAAGATCCGCGTCCTTCAGGGCCAAAACCACAAGACCGAGGAGCCTCCGCTGGCGCTGTTCGCCGTGTGCACGCCATTCGGGCCTCCGTCCTTGCTCGAGATGCCCCAGAAGGAGTCCATGTTCAAGAGCAAGCACAAGCTCGACCTGGCACTAGTCTCCATGGACCAGAGGTACGCTTTTAATCATGTCCCACGTAAAGGACTGGATATAACCAGGACATTAGACCTTTTTCGTTATGTTTCTCTGCTATAAACGACACTTCACTCGGAACCTAAATAAGAGTGTACACACGCACTACTCTCGTCGTACTCCAGCGTTCGGCATTCTGCATAAATGTGAATGTGTGCCAACAGAGGGTGGCGAAGCTTTTGCGTAGAAGTTTGCGAAAATCACTATTTTTTATTTGCTCAAAAACTATGTGACACTGTTGTCACTACATTGTTTAGAGAGTAGCCTCAGTGTCAGCGCAGGACATGAAGGACATCAATGTACACGTAATAAAACGTAAAAAAATCCCTAACTAAACATGATAGAGTGAACGCGTGTGCACATAATTAGTCCTCACCTGGTTTATCGCTGTTTCGCCAAATATGCATTGAACTTTCTTTTTCATGAGGAATAATTTTTGAACCACTCTCTGTAACTGTGATCATGAGTCGCGACTTCGTGACATAGCCTATAATTTGTAAAACGGCTCATCAGTGCTATAACAAGGTTGTTAAGCAGCTGCACTCAAGTTAGACATAAGATAAAAAGGTATGTCATTGCATGCCGAATTTCTATGTCGCACAACCACTCCAAACGGCCACCCTTGCACCTTTGGCGAATGTTTCTTTTTTTCTTTTTGTTTGCAGGGGCAAGCACCTGCTCGGCTACGCGGACTCGGACTTTATGAGCCAAGGCGGCTACGACCTGGTTCACTTCGACGATCTCGCCTACGTGGCCAGCGCGCATCAAGAACGTGAGAACCATGCCCATTTCCTTGACAGCCTTACTTTTACTTTTTTTTTCCTGTTTACCCTGGGTGAGGTGTTTACGACCGTAGCCAAAGCAAAACGAGGGGGTGAAGACAACCTTTATGGCTCTTGCCTTTATGTCGTCAAAACTTCCGATAAGATTGTGGTTGTAAGAAGGAAAAGAAGAGAAAAGTGAGCCCCGTAACTGTCTGCATAAGCGTACGACACCTCAACAGTAGCTCACAAGGGTGGGGGTGAGGAGGGATTAGAAGGATATGATTAAAGGTAGAGAGAGAAAGAGAGATGCGCAAGGACAGTGAGCGACGACATAAGAGAGATAGGAAAGATGGAAACAGGGTCACAGGAGTCCGAGGACGGGGCACCACTTGCGAGAGCTCTTGTCGGCGACAGGAGATGGCGTAAGGCTAATCCAGTCGGCCAGAGCCTCGCTGATGTCGTCGTAGGGGACCGGCGGCAGGAGGTGGCGTAGGACCAACCCAGTCGGCCAGAGTTCCGATAAAAACAGCCTGCGGGTCTGTTAGCCGTTTATTCACTCTCAGATTTATATTTGCAGCTTGCGCTCAGGAGTGTTGGCGGAATTTTTTTTTTTCGGGGAGGAGGGAGTGGGGGCACCATTTTTTAAATTGCCATTTTTCACTCTGTACGGCTAAAAATGGCGAAAAAAAAATTCGGAGGAGGAGGGGACGGGCCCGGCGCGCCACCCCTTGGCTACGCCACTGCTTGCGCTCTATAATGACACCGCAGGCGTCACAGTGTTTCACGGCAGAAGATGTAAGGGCGCAAGTGTGTGATGGGACGCTGTAGCACCTGTTTGGGGCCCTGACCATGCTGTGTAGGTGTCGCGACCAGCTAATATTGTCTTGATTTGGCGAGGAAACAACTGAAGTTATTGCAAACACTGCACTGACAGCGGTGGGCACAAGCGTCTTTGGTCGATCTCTTGTGAAATCACGTCAATTTTCATACAGTTTGTATAGCCGCATTGGTTCCTGAATAAGCTCCAGTACCCGCATCGTGCGCGCAACGTTATCAGAAAAAGTATTAAAACCGGGAGGACGCTTCAGGTTCGCCTTTAAGAGTATAGAACGCGATAAGCATAATATGTTTTCGTTTGCGTCGTCTTCTCAGTCGATAGCCTATATCTTCGCTCTTCGGTCGGCACCTCAAACGAGCCCCGAGTTGGAAGGCGTCTGTGCGCGTAACATTGGCCGCTCCAAACTGTCGATAGTTATAGCGCGAGAACAAAACGACGACACAGAGACAAGAAGGACACGAAAGACACGACGTGTCCTTCTTGTCTCTGTGTCGTCGTTTTGTTCTCGCGCTATGCTATAACTATCGTCATGCCATACCAACTAGCCCAATATCATTCATTCAATCATTCATTCATTCATTCATATGTGGCGTTTAACGTCCCAAAACCACCATATGATTATGAGAGACGCCGGAGTGGAGGGCTCCGGAAATGCAGCCGCCGCAGCCGGGATTCGATCCCGCAACCTGCGGGTCAGCAGCCGAGTACCTTAGCCACTAGACCACCGCGGCGGGGCTACCAACTAGCCCAAGCTGCCACACTTTCGAACTGTCCTTGCGAGCCATAATTCTGCCGTTTGCAAATATAGATGAAATGCCCCGCACACGTCCCTATACGGCAACACGTGCGTATGCCCTTTTTGTTGATGCTATTGCTTATATTGCTTTACAATGCTTTATTATGTGTGCTTTTTAACAGGTCAGCCTTTAAACCGACCAGCCACTCGGTGCTTAATGCGCATGTTTTGACACTTGATGCGATTATACGCTCATACCAAGTAATATTACATGCGAAATCAAGTGCCGTGCGCTATACTCGTACCATGAGTCATTCGTATAGGGTCTTTTTTTTTTTTTCGAAACAGTTCCAAGCACATTCGTGGCGCTGTGGTAGAACACCAGTTTGCCACATGTAATTGCCTCGAGCCCCACTCCAAGCAAATCTATCTATCTATCTATCTATCTATCTATCTATCTATCTATCTATCTATCTATCTATCTATCTATCTATCTATCTATCTATCTATCTATCTATCTATCTATCTATCTATCTATCTATCTATCTATCTATCTATCTCCCTTCTGTTCGTTCTTGCTTCCGTCCGCCCGTGCGTCCATCCGACCGTCTGTTAGTGCGTCCGTCCGCCTGCCCGTGCGTGCGGATGTGCGTCCATCCATCCATCCACGCGTCCGTTCGTGCTTGCGTTCGTCCATCCGACCATCTGCTTGCCTGTCTATCCATCCATCCGTGCGTTCGTCGGTTCGTTCGTCCGTCGCCTAGTGAACACTCCAAGTACCGCCTATTCGCATCTCTTCATCGCGATCCTGTGGTATATATAGCCGCGCGATCGTAGTCTCCTTCCCCATTGGCACACACCCGTCTATCCCCCTGTGGCACATACCCGCTCTCTCGGGTATGTGCCACCGGCGGTTACGCACAACGACAACGTTGGGACGCACAAGCCATGCCACAAGGAGCTTCGCCCCTGAAAGGAAGACGATCTTTAGCGTATTAGTAAAGTGCGATCCCACGATCCCGAAAACGCCAATTTCGCCATGATGCGGCGCTTGTTAAGCGACAAGACGCTTTCCAGGAAAAAAACGACAATTCCGTTTGAAAACTGTATCGGGAATCACAGCTTGTTGGCAGTTAATGCGTTTAAGTACATAGGTCTCGCAATTACGCATAACCTAAAGTGGCACTGTTACAAGCTGCCACTCTAGTGTCGCCAGCGCGAAGTCGGCGACGGGAATGACAGCAGGTTGGTTCGTTCCGTACGCAAGCAGAGACAGTGAAGAGATCAGAGACGTGAGAAAACAAAACAAACTTTACTCTAGTGATAGTGCAGCACTCGGGATCTAATACAACACTTCAATACAACTAACAAAATACATCGACACTTGATACAACTAAAGAAATATATAACAGAAACAATAAATCAGCTTACGAGAGAGAACTATTACAAACTACACAAACTAACAAGAATAGAACGATGGAGGAGAAAGTTCGAAGATATAAACAGGTGAAGCATACGTGTGATGACCGGCAGCGTTGCGTCCCCGACGATCGGATGCGAGAAGTCGAAGAGAGTTCTGGCACGCCTGCGATGTCGGCGGTGTTGCAACGCTGGTGGCTCCGGGAGGCTAGTGCTTGCAGGTGACTTCGAGCAGGTTGCGCTAACTCGAGGCGAAGTCCCGATGTCTACGTTGCAGACGTTAATATCGCGTCACAGCTAGACGAACGGCTAAGTTTAGGTGGCCAGCCGATACAGAGCCACACTAAAAACTTCTAGAAGAGATGCTTGTTGATTTGTTTCTACACCATCTTGGTCAGCGACTAGTCTGCCTAGCAGGGCAAAGTCCTGCGCTTAAATCCCCCTCGTGTCTCCTCGCTCTCTTCCTTGGGGACAAGAGACCTCTACCTGGGTCCAATCATGCGCGTTTAATTGAGGGGAAACTCCGCCCCAAAAATATTTTGACCCCACCCCTTTTTAATTGGTAGAGGGCCCGCAACTAGCGAGAGTGACAACCTGTCGGGTTTTTGTCATACGGCTTGGCCACTAGAGCGTTTCCCACGCTTTTCTCCGTGGGAACGGTCAACCGTTTGGCTCTCAGCCGGGCGTCTCGTAGTCTAATCCTTGTTTGGGGCATACCGCGGCCTTCTACGACCTTGCAGACGTCGCCACAGTTACAAAAGGATTAACTGTCGGCGGCGACGTTCTAAGAAGAGCACCCCATTTTGCACTTCTCGGATCCCTTTCATGCGCCGCCGTTTCTCACGGTCAGTCGGGGAGTACGGCGCCCGTTAATTACCGTGACGCGGTGTCGCCAAAAATAGCCGTCCGTGACAGGCACACACATATTGATTATATTTGCTCTAGGGCCTCACAAAAATTGTACATATTAGGAAAAACCTGCAGGGTGCTAGTATGGACGTAAAACTTCTTGCTTTTAAAACTTTAATACGGCCGATACTGGAATATGCCAGTATTGTCTGGAGTCCCCACCAAAAAGTGCTTGTAAATAAACTTGAACGCATACAACGGCTTGCAGCTCGCTTTAAATGCTCGAGATTCAAGCAGAACGACTCAGTCACAAAAATGCTACAACTATGTGATCTGGAGACGCTCCACAAGCGCAGACGCAAAAATAGATTAAAGTTTCTTTTTCAATTATTAGAAGGTGAGTTTAAAATTAACAGAAATGACTACATAGAACAACCTGGGAAACGAAGCGAGAGGGCGAACCATACACGAGTACTGCACCCTTATTTTGCACGAACGAAGGCATACCGTCATACTTCTTTCCCCGATGTCATTGAAGATTGGAATGGGTTACTGAGTAACATAGTCAATGCGGGTGATGTTAATGAATTTGTACATTTACTTGATTTACATTTATGTGATTTATGAAGGAAGGAAGTATGTTTATTTACAGAAAGGCAGAGAGGTCGGCCTGAGCGATAGTTTGCTCTATCCTGCTACTCTACACTGGGGGAAGGGAAAGGGGAAAAGAAAGATTAATGGATGACGATGGTGAGATAGAGAGGTGAGTATGTAGTGTTCTTTCTAGCTGAGGCACATTTTATAGCCGCGCACATAGTCCAGTTGTTTCTAAAAAGGTAATAACTGCTCTTGTGACCGCAGTTGCACTGTTGGTGTCTGGCCAAGGGCCCAACATGGTCTCATCAGTTAATGACCTACTGCGATATTCTTCAGTAGAAGAAATCAGTGTTTGTCGTTCACGTGCGTATGCTGGGCAGACGCAAAATATGTGCTCAAGTGTTTCTGGCACATCACAATGTTCACAATTAGGACCGGTGTCACTGCGACCGATGATATGTGCGTAACGTCTAGTGTACGCTACACCAAGACGAATGCGGTGGATCATACTTGTGAGTTGCCGTTTCAATTTAGGAGGCATGCGGAACCTCATTTCCGGGTCCCATTTGTGAAGTCGCTGGTGTCGCCGTTCCGGTTTGGTCCAGTGCTGAAGTGTGTAGCTGTGCATCACGCAGCGAAGCAGGGCGTTCGTGTCAGCTCGTGAAAACGCAATGCGTACTTCAGGGGCACTGCTTAAGGCATTTTTAGCTTGAGCGTCTGCCTCTTCGTTTCCCATCACGCCGCAATGAGCGGGAATCCACTGGAAAGTTATAAGATGGCCATTTGTTGAAGCAACCTGAATAAGTTCTGTGATTTATATTGTCAAGCTGTAATATGGACCTTGCTTCATGATGCAATTAATGGTTTGCAAAGGGGGTTTGGCATCAAAGAAAATCGTCCAGGCTCGAGGTCGCTCTCCGGAAATAAACCTTATTGCCTCTCGGATAGCGACAAGCTCTGCGGCAGTTGATGTGGTTTTATGGTCCACTTTGAATCCTCGAGCGATATCCATGTCTGGGATGACAAAGGCTGCGGCGGAGGTGTTTAGCGTGGTGGATCCGTCGGTGTACACGTGCAGAGAATTACTGTACGTTGTATAAATGTGATATAGGGTCAGTTGTCTGAGGCCAACAGAAGAAATGAGCGACTTCTTCGTAATTCCAGGTATCGTAAATTGTGGTTTATTGTAAATATTATTGCGATTGTTATTTGTTGCATTGCGAATCAGGGTGTGTGTTTTTCGTTTGAAATGAAGAGCTTTCACGGATTTGTATATATGTATACCTGGTTTATCATTGGGAGATGTATAGTTATATCCCCAATTTGTTTGTACAGTGTGTCGCACCTTTCCTGTAATGACCCTCAATAGAGTTGACAGTATTTCTAAATAAAGTAAAAGAAAACGCGGGTGAAAACGCCACAGTGAGATTCTGACAGCGAATATTGTGACGTCACAAATTTTGAAGGCTTTTAAACGTTAAACTGAAGCGCATTTTCGTCTGCGGGTGCAGTAAACTAAGCATACGAAGTTTCGTGAAATTTCATCGAGCCTATGTCGAGAAAACATCAAAAATACATTTTAAATTTTTGATCTCACGCGCGAAGATTTTGGCTCGAAGTTTAAAAATGAAAATTCAACCTTGATTTTCTCCACCAATAGTCAACTCATGCTAGTGAAACGTGTGGTATTAGAGTTCTCAGAGCGCAGTTTATCAATCTAAACCAAGTCACAGTTCATCGTTAGAGTCGCCTTAAAGCAGGCGTATAGCCGATCGTTATACTTAAGCACATGGAGCTTCAAAACACATCCGCGGCTTGCAGCCACTGTATCTGCACAGCTATAATGCAGTTTTCCTTCAATATATTTATTTCCCGAGCAAGGACATACATCCCGCCTTTTTTTTTTTCCCAATCTGCGGCTCCTCCCTATCACACACGCGTGGTCTAAACCAGAACGGCGCCTCGATCGTCAGCGAACCCTTTAATGTTTTGCAAAAGCGCAGGATCGCGTGCATCCCGAAACGGCCAAAGACCTCCGCAGCTATAGCTACGTGAACAGCTCGAATTTCGAAAGCCGTTTGGTCTTTATTTTTTTTTTTTTTTTGCCTTCTCAAATCGCTGCGGCTTCGCGAGACCGAACTGAAACGCTAGACGGCTGCGCTATCCCGCGCGGCTCACCGCAATGCGCGCTCGCGCGCAAGCGTTCGACACCGCATAATCACGCGTACAAATCGACAGCGAAAACCTCTTCATTCGTACCAGACAGAAAAGAAGCGATAGTTTACTTTGTTTCGTAAAGAAAAAAACAGCATCAATACAGCCGTTCTGACAGCGGCGGCATAAAGCGGCTTTGTCGTTGGGAAGCCGAACGATTCGATTCTTACTGCGAAACCCTCCCCCACACGCTTCGTTTCGCCCGCGCTTTTCTCCGATTGTTGGGCCGTCGGGAGCACGCGCGCGCGTTTCTTTTTCGCTTCTCATTCAAAGCGTTTCGCGCGCTTTTCAGCGTCTCTATAGCACCGTGCTTGGCATTCGGTTTCGCGCAAATACCGTCGCTCGCGCGCTTTTCGTTTTTTTTTTCTTTTTTGAACTCCGAATTCGCGAAATGCGATGCGCCCCTCTTCGACATTTCGATTTGTTTTCTCCGCTTCTTCAGCACAACCATCGCATCCCCTGTACTCTAAACGTTTGCTTCAAAAAACAAGGGAACAAAATCTAACACGCTTTATATGCCATTTCGCATTGTTTTGTCACAGCGCCATCTGTTTTCTAAAATAAGCTGTATACAGAAAGCCGAGTAACATGCTTATTCCGACCCTCGCCGTCCCAGCTTCCCATAGCCCGCTCCCGTTTCCATCATCAAATACCACCCTTTACTCATCGGAACTCGCGTTTTCTCCGTTGGTCCTCGCACGAATGCCTGATGCGCAGCTGAGCACCACAGCGTATTCGCTCACGGGAAATCGAGCCTTCCTAGTCGCTATCGAGCGACGCGAACTGAAGGGGGGGGGGGGGGGGGTGCGACGCTTTAGTGACGATTCCGCGGGTCGGTCGTTTTCCCGATCGGCTTTTACAAACGTGTGCATGCATGTGTACGTCTGTGAGAACGTACGGTACACGAAATTAAGGCGTGTACTGTATGCACCGCTCTATTGATGAGCACGGTCGGACCGGCTGATGAACGTCTATATACGCTCGGATTTTAAATAAAATTGGACGAAAAGAAAACGTGAAGGAAAATGATGGCATGCCTTCAGTTGGCGGTGATGACGGCATGTACGGAGCTGGTATACGGTAGAAGAGAGAGAGGGAAGAAGAAATCAAAGAGTAGAAGACAACAGGGCACTAGATTGAGTTTCTTTCGAAGGTAGGAATCTACGGTAAATCTTCGTAAAAGAAATGTGCGCATAGAAAAAGTAAATAACGATATAGTGGACCATTTGGTACTCTACTATACAGGGCGTTTCAGTAAATGTGTCCAATATTCTTTAAAAAAATTGCGCAAAAGCGTTTTTGCTCGCAGTCTTCGCAGTTGCTTTTTCTGTTGCTGCAGGCATCTTAAAAGGTTGAAGACATCATTTTTAACAGCAGTTAGGAAGTTTACATTCATTAACTTTTTAATTAGGGGAGTTAGGCACTTATGTCAAATGGGAGAATTGAAGCTCTGCTGAGGGCTTCTGAGTCACTAGTGAATATTCGGTGAGACTTGGTGCCCGGGCTCTTGAGCGAGGATGGCACAAATACGTCTAAACGGTCCTGGCTGACGTCGCTGAGGGTGGCGTCTTCATTGATTTGTATACAGGGGCGTCTCACTCGCAGTACTGTTCGAGTCCTCGTTGATGGAGATTGATTGATTGATATGTGGGGTTAAACGTCCCAAAACCACCATATGATTATGAGAGACGCCGTAGTGGAGGACTCCGGAAATTTTGACCACCTGGGGTTCTTTAACGAGCACCCAAATTTGAGCACACGGGCCTACAACATTTCCGCCTCCATCGGAAATGCAGCCGCTGCAGCCGGGATTTGATCCCGTGACCTGCGGGTCAGCAGCCGAGTACCTTAGCCACTAAACCACCGCGGCGGGACCTCGTTGATGGAGGCGTCGACGTCTTTAGATGAAGTCTCCCCGATGACATGCGAACTTGCGGCTGCCTGGGCGTCTAAACATGCGATGAGCGGCGGACGTAACATTGCCCGCTACGACACTTTTCTCAAGAGGCGCGTTGTCTAACGAGGGCTTGACCTGAGGTTCGGCAGGAATGGCCACTGAACGCGGGGTACTGGATGGGTTTTCAGAGACTGGAAGAATCACCAGGTCCGGGCTAGCCGGGGACGCAGTAGGCTTTTTGTGCAGCGTCGCAATTCGAACAGCTTGATTTTGGCAGGTGTTCAGGGCCAACGCCTCCCAAAAAAAACTATGCCTGGAACGTGAGCTGGGAACACGCTGCCCTACCCTCTGATTTTACCCTCCTCGTTCGGTACGAAGGCGAGCGTGCTCTCACAGCAATGCTCTCACAGTTGCCCCCGAGCAGCCGTGGTGTCATGTGACAGAGCGGTACGGTAATGTCACGTGACTGAGCGGTACGGAGGTGAGCGGTCTCACGAGGCGGCCGGTCGCACACAAACACACGGCTGAATCCATGGCCTCCGAGATTTTGTGCTGGCAGGAGGCTCCGCCGAATAGAAAAGAGAGTGACGTTCCAGGCATAATTTTGCTAGGAGGCGTTGCCAGGGCTGGCGTCGATGAACCATCGCCCTTGCACCAAGTCGGCGTTCCTGGTTGAAGTGGCGCGAAATTCTTGGATACACCCTCCGAGTACGACTACTATGGTGCAGGCGACAATGGCGTGCGGGTCACCACAGCGGCGATACGGCAGCGAACAGCCCTTCTTTTCCTGGACACAATACACTTCTTCAATGCCTACTATTGAAGACGTCATGTACGACGTCTTCTGGACTAGTCCCCCCCAGGTACGACAAGGTTGAAGGCTAACTCTTTCTTCTGGTGCTGGCTTACCATGGTGTGCGCCCACCAGCCCAAGGACGCCCCGAGACGTTCTTCTACACAGAAGGAGGCAGAAGGACGCCGAACTGCCTTCTCTATGCAGACACTTTTTTAAGTTGTGCTTGTCGTTGACGTAAATGGGAGGCAGACAGTGGCAGGGGTGACCACCGAGCTCGCTATCGCGAGGTATATAGTGTATTTTAGCAAGACTGAAATAAAAACACTGTGCGCCGGCCAAAAAGTGGTCGTTTCAAAACTTTCTGTCGGCGTTCAGGGTTTTTATTTCAACCATGCCATTTCCTCTCGACCAGACGAAATTTCGTCTAATTGTCAATTTTATATTGCTTTTTGGAGTGTTAGGGTGTCCAGTTGTATATTTTTTTACGATGCAAGGTATTGCATATACAAATACCTTCTGCATGTAAACGCAATTTGAAATGTTTATGCCATGCCCGAGTGCACGCAAGCTCAAACGAGACGTAATGTTTCATCACTGTTGCAGTGCTGAAGACGGGCGCCTCGGGGCTGATTGCGTATCGGCTCGCTACCAAGGACGGCAAATGGCAATGGCTGCAGACCAGCGCGAGGCTGGTTTACAAGAACTCCAAGCCGGATTTCATCTTGTGCACGCACAGGCCTCTTATGTAAGCGCACTTGTATGCTTTCTTTTTCCTAACACATTTCACGCAGAGATATATTTTATGCACATTAAGAATAGCGGGTAAATGTTTCAGCACACTTAAGACGCACGCGGTCACGTTTGGCTGAAGAGAGATTGTTTTGCATTGATTTCTCGCTTCACAGTTCGATATAGGCGTTTCCTTAAGGCATGATACTTTACATGCATATTATATGGGTGCCGTAATGCCGGTCATGTATGAAGTGAAGCAGGGTTTTGTGGAACCATATCATGCGTCCAGTGGTCATAGCTGATCGTACTGCTATAGCGAAGACCGGGTTGGAGTATATATTTCATGGGACAGTTCTAATTGTAACTGTTATATCCATACGATATGGCATGCATCCGCTTGCTTCACCAGAAACGAGCAGTACAGACAGACGGTACAGAATAATACATAGTTGCACGTTGAGATGACAGCCGATGTATAAGGACAAACCCGGGCCAAGACCTCCTAAGCTAGGCTTCATTTAAAGTAAGGTGAAAGGGCAGACAGCAGCCGCATGGCACACGTGTTTTGCCGCAGAAAATTTTTACGGGCTAAGGGTGAGTTCGGGGGTTTAGGTGGAAGAGGAACGGAGGCGTGACTGAAATTCGTGAAGCGAGCTATTGGTGCGGAGTATCGCCCCATTTCGACCAAGACACAAGCTTTGCAACCTTCCTCATTGTGACTTGAGTGTGTTTTAGAACGCTAGCGATCAACTTAATCACGTGAGCTCTGTCTCGGTATGCGAATGAGTCTTTAACTGTTATGTTTACTCTGCAGGGAAGAAGAAGGCCGCGACTTGCTCGGCAAGCGGACGATGGACTTCAAGGTCACCTACTTGGACGCCGGCCTGACGACGTCCAGTAGCTGCTCGTCGACGAGCAGCGAACGAAACAGTGCCAGCAGCATAGGAGGCGGCGGGGGCGCGAGCAGCGGCAACAACTGCAACGCCAACTCAACCGGCGACGCCGGCGGAGCGCTGATGTCCGAGAACGACTTCATCCTGCGCTGTCAGAGGAACCGACGCTACAAGTCGCAAATACGCGACCTCCTGAGCCGCGGAAAGCGGAGCAAGGGCTCCTCGTCGAGCAAGAACCCCACGCCCCCGCCGCCGCCGACGACGTACAGCATCGAGGACTACGGCAACATGTACGCGACCGCAGCGCCGTACGCTGCTGCGGCCGCCGCAGCTGCCGCGGCGAGCGACAGCGGGCTTCCGCCGGGATACGGCGTGGCGGCCCAGAACTTGTTCCTGGACAACTCGAGGTTTCTGGCACCCGAGAACTTCCTCCACTACCGGCACCTCAGCGGATACTACGCGCCCGAGTATCCCCAGTACGGCAACGGCTTCCTCGACCCCGCCACCAGGCAAGGATTTGATGCACTTCCTATCCGGCTCGTGTCACTGAAAGACCAGTCATTATAACGCTCCGCGACGTGTGTATCGTGTGGGCATGCCATAGTAACGTCCGGCGGTTCTTTTTTTCCATGAATGACACAGAAAGCGAAGCAACATTTTATTACGTCTCTTGATGAACAGAGGTTCTTTATTTAGTGCAGCTAGCTTGATTACTAGTGATTAGTTGTGGGTGGTATCATTTTGTGAATCTCCTATTAGTGGCGCATGTGTTCTCGTGCATTTGCCATAATTTCGTAGGTCACTGATGTTGATAATGTCGTTTCAGACGTTGTCATACACAGAGCTTTCACTCTGACATAAACTGTTATTTTACCTTACTGTACTTTTTAAGCTCTTGTTACCCGCAGAACCGCACCACACAAAAAATAACGCGAAATTGCTTACTTATTCATAAGTACGGTCACCGCGCAGGTATACGCCCTACCAGGAGCAGAAGGACGACAAGCTGTACGCCTGTCAGATAGACAAGTACAACGGCGTCCAAGCGCCCAAGGCCTCGTGCTGCGACCCTTACAGCGCCGTACTTCCCGACAGCAGGCAGCTCGGCTTCGGCAGCCTCTCGGACTGTTTGCTCAGGCCGGCCAAGGCTACAGCCGTGCCGGCGCCCAAGGAAGACATGACGCGGCAGAGCGTGCTCATGTGGGGCGCGCCCCCTCCTCCTCCTCCACCCCCGCCGCCGCCTCACACGGCGCCTCAACACCCCGTGTCTGGAGCCTCCGCGGCGGACCCCGGCTGCAAATGGGGCGGCCTGGCGTCGGCGCCAAAGACCAGCTCACCGCACAACAGCTCCAGTCCTGTCGGCGCCCGGGTGGCTCCGACGCCGTACGCCGCGGCGCCCACGTACACGCACGAAATGGTTCCGGAGGTAAGACGCGTTGCCGTATGTCAGCTCCGAAACCTATGTCCAGCGTGTGTGTGTACTTTTTCGTAGTCTGCGTCACAATGTTATAGCAATGAGCCAACGGGCCGTTCTAATAGATTACACAGCTTTTTTTTTCTATGTCCGCTGCTCTAGAGAGAAACCAAATAAAGTAAAGGCAGAGTGGTTACTATGTCCGCTGCTCTAAAGAGAAGGCGAATAGAGGAAAGGCAGAGATCTTACATAGACGAGCCTGGTCCTACATAGACGAGTCTGATATCCCATTTATTGCCCCAATTACCGAACGCATTCTGCTGTGGACCAGTAATGTAATGCTAGAATGAACTTTGCACAAATATATCTGCAAAAAGACAAAATAATAAAATATCGCAGCATATCCACGGAGTGAATGATGATTGGTGGGGCGAAGCGTTCGTCAGTCCGTCCGTGCTTTCGTCTGCCCATTCGTTCTTGCTTCCGTCCGTCAATGCGTCCGTCCGCGCGTTCATTCGTATGATGTCGGTACATCCGTCCTTCCGTGCGTACGTCCGCACGTCCGTTCTTCTGTCTGTTCATCCATCCGTCCGTCCGCCCGTCTATCTGTCTGTGCGTCCGTCCATTTATCTAGTGAACACTCCAAGTACAGCCATCTCACGTCTTTTCATCGTGCATTTATCATATACAAGTGCCGCCATCCAGCGGACATTTTAAAGACCGCTCTTTCGGGTATGTGCCACCGGTGGCTACGTACACCATCGGGGAATGGGCAGACCTGCACCCCAAGGAGCTTCGTCCCTAAAAAAATAGAACGGAAACAAAGGGAAGCTGGTTAGGAGCGGGTCTTTCTTATATATCAGCGCCGGATCAAAATTTTCCTGCAGCGTGCCGAAGGTTAGAATCTGATCGTTGCCCGGATCGAAAACGAGTGGGACAACTTTCCAACACTGCGTGTCTCGCACCACAGCAAGGATTTTTGTAACTTGTAAACCAGCAGAATCGGCACTGTTGCGTCATTTTTGCGGTATCATACAGATTATTTCAATAAAGACACTAAATTAAATTAATTAATTGGCTTTAGATTGATGGCTTTAGATTGATAAAGTGTTCATCATGAACTTTTATGTCGTTAACTTTACCATAACCAGTTCGTAATTGGAGGGGAAAATCAAGGTCAAAGTACCACTTTTAAATTTCGTGCCAAAATCTGCGTGCGCGACGCCGCGCATTTCAAGGTGCATTTGTCGTACCTTGCCGGCAATGGCTCGAAAACGTTTCCCAAAGCTTTCTTTGTCAAGTCTCTGGCTCGATCAGCAGACATTGTGTTTACGAATCACACAAAAATAGTTTTCTTCTCCCTTCAGCTCGCACACATGGTTGCCGTGGCGCTGCGCTCGATTAGACTAAACGAGCTGGTACGAATCTGGTTACTATTTCATGTGGATGTGGAAGCGAGAATCAACGAATGTATGGGCCGTGGGGATGTGTGCTTCGGAATTGAAACAACAACGTTTTTTCGTCAGTTTACTCTGCTTCGCGCTTTTAAATGTGCTGTACAAGCTTTGCGCATAATAGAATCCAAGTAAAACTAAGACAAATCGCGTCTGCGAAAATGTTTCTGACATTACTGAGAAATTTGTAATGATACTTGCATTATAATACCTCTTCAACATGACAGCAGTCGTTGGCACTCGTTGCGCGCTATTACGCACAACGCCTGGTGAAAGCGCACAGGTGTGCCTTATTTACAATTTTGCGCGTATACATCTACCCAATGTGCTACCCAGCATTTATTCACTTGATATATTATGTTAGCGCTCTCTTACTCTCTCAAAAACATAAATCAAAGGGCCACCGAAGCGCGAAAAATCGCAGTCTTCGCCAGAAGTGTACTTTCCAGTACTTTCTCTTTAGTGGCGTTAATCTCAACGACAGCCATGTTGAATGTAGAGTCGTGCCACCTATAGGTCGTGAAAGTTACGAATAGACGTCATACTCTGTCCAGGTGGCGCTGGCAAAAGCGCCGCCTCCAGCGCTCACATCGCAGCGCCGGCCATAAACCAGGCACTGCGCCGTGCTCCCGACCGGGTTGCAGAAATTAGGTGGCTTTTCTCATCTCTCAACCACTACCACCACCACCATAGACGAGTAGTGCAAAGAGCGTGCAAGCGAACGTGCATTGGCCCTCCTGTTTCGTTAGTCTTGAGGCCGTGATGATTTTCGTCTTTGCAGTTGCCAGGGGTGGACGTGCTGCGCCATTCTGCGCCAATCTGACCTGCTGCGCCAAGCTGTGTCTAAACGGCAATTTGCGTGTGCAACGACAAATTTAGTCGAGTTTTATCTACAACCGAGCAACACGCGTGGGCTACACAACCGCGCCCATATCAAATTAGTTCGGTGACGTCGTATTTCGGTTCATGCATGAATCTTGTTGAGGTGGTGTTTGTGTGCATACCTCATTATGCGACTCTATATATGTTTCAACAGCAAAGCTGTTAGCCAAACTGTACAAACTGAAAAATAAAATAAAAATCAGTTTCACCGGTGAAATAGTGACTGCAATAGCAAAATTTGTAATGGTAATGCCGCACGCGCTTTATATTTTTGCTACCGCACCGTTACGAGTGTAACGCTACCTCGCGCAATCCGCTCCCGAATCACTGGGAACAATCTAGATAATCTTAGAGCCTTCCGATGAGATTACAAGCACAACACGTACCTAATAGTTTGTTCTGGAACTTACGCAGCCGCTAGCGATAACGCGGGAATCTTCGATGGCACATGTATAAATGCCGACGCACTTCCTTGCTGCTTGGCAGCAAAAAAAGTGTGCTTTTTCGTTTCTCGGTCCGCGCTCTGGTTTGCAGCTACCAGTCTACAGCTTGTATTGCTTGTAGAGTGACGTTTTGTTTTCCGGGCACAGGTTCGCTCAAATAAGGTTCACTCATGAAAACAGCGGCTGCTGCCTTCGTCAACCTCACGACCCCGTGGCGATACGAAGGTTGAAGGCTAACGCTTTTGAGAATTCGACATCGCGACACTCTGCAAAACGCTGGTGTAAGAAAGGACGTACGGCCGCTCCGGAGAGAAATGCTCTTATCGCATGATCTCTTTCCGTGGAGAGCGCACCACGTAGAACGGTTTACGAGCCGCGCGCTGATTCTTGCCGATAGCGCGCGCGCCAGCTTATCACAACCTCGCCCTTAGAATCAAAGTTCACCGTTGCTGCTCGAGTGACCCCCCCCCCCCCCTCTTCCTCCACGTATTTTTTTCATGCTCGTTCAAGACGGGCGGCGTGTTTCCTCCCTGCTTGAGCATAGGCACTGCGCTGTGCTCCCGACCGGGTTGCAGAATTTAGGTGCCTTTTCTCATCTTCTAACCACTACCACCACCACCATCACCTGCTTGAGCATTTGACGGCAGGTCTAACACGCGGTGGGATAGTATCGCGTGCGCCGTCGCTTCCAAGCGACGGAGATAGGCCGCCTCGTTTAATTTCTGCTTGCGCAGCGCACCCCCCCCCCCCCCCCGCCCCCGACTTGCGCAAATTTACGCGCGGGTAGAACGTATGATGTGCGGGGAATGTCACCAACTTGTAGTTTACGCGGAACATGGCGGTGACGGTGAAAACCCGTCGAGTACCCATGTAGTTCCTATCCTAATATTTTTAAAAAAATCACTTAATTGACCAGCAGTGGCAGTCTTGAGTTGCTGTTCATGTTATATGCAGTCTGTTAATCACATTTCGAACATTGCAGCATTTTAACATTAATTTTTTTATTCGTTTGAGTAGCTGATAACAGCGCCGTGCCGCTCATGTTTTTCTTTGAGTTGCTGTGCTTTCAAATTTGATGTTGTAAGCTTTAATATATATAATATTATATATATATATATATATATATATATATATATATATATATATATATATATATATATATATATATATAAATTTAGCGTAAGTCTGGCCACTTGATCAGCATTGCATACTTAGTAAATACCCCCGAGTTTTTTTCTGTTGATAAGAAAGTAAAGTTTTTCGAAAATTCTGATTAGCAGTGATGTGTGACCCAAGAAATCTGCTCCAAAACTAAGTTTCAATGCTCCAAAACGCCCCTTTTACTGCTTCAAAGCTGCTCCAAAAGGCTATAGCCCGCCTCCACCTCCGTTCAGAACAATAACAAAAACCTACATTATCACAATTTTTCATGTAAGCAGCAGTGGAGAACGCGAGCAATTCGCTTACTCAAAACGTTCGCGACGGCCCGTATCCAGCGCTATCGCCGTTCTTCGTCGCGAAAGCTGCGGAAATCAACAAAACTGATGTCCTTTACATCCGTGGCAATTCATAACGCCATAGTAGTGTCGACTGGGTATATTTTTTTGTAAAGCGCGGAGCTGTTGCACCTGCTCTTGTTTTCGACGTCGTTCTGGCGAGTGAACCACCAGCAAGCACTTCACGGCGGTTCGGTGACGCATCCGACTAGCGGAGAGAAATTTGTTTCTCTTTTTCTAATTATTCAATGCGCAAATACACGTAATATTTAGCTTAGTCATTGTTTCGTAAGCTGCAGTTGCACCTGGTTGCGCAACAAACTGTACAGGGAGGTCGGACTTTGTACTACCCAAAACTGCGCCGACAGGCGGCGCTACGTGTCTACAAAACTCCGGACCACTATACTGCAGTATAGATTTCGTTATCGCGCGCGTCGTAATACTGTCCGATGGCGACGCACCGCCCGTCGCAGAAGACGCTACAAGGTTCATAATTTGTTGACTATGCGACAGACGTGCATTTAGATTATTCTGTGGGCATTAACGAAAATGTGACGTCTATAAAGGTCCTAAATTCGGAGCGCCCGTTGCAGGAATTCTTATGTGAAAGGTGCCTTAAAAAACCTAGGTCCTAAGTTGAACAGCCGCGCTACGTCATGCTGATTTTTTTTATAGCGTGTCTGCACGCCTCTAAGCAATCACCAGCATATCCGCAGGTCGCGGGATCGAATCCCGGCTGCGGCGGCTGCATTTCCCATGGAGGCGGAAATGCTGTAGGCCCGTGTGCTCAGATTCAAGTGCACGTTAAAGAACCACAGGTGGTCGAAATTTCCGGAGCTTTACACTATACGGCGTCTCTCATGATCATATATGGTGGTGTCGGGACGTTAAACCCCACATATCAAATCATCATCAATCACCAGCTTATCGATTTCTTTTTGATAAGGTAAGAACTCACCAACTTATTGCTTTTCGTCATTTTCAGGGATGGCAGATGGAAGCCATGGCGCCTTGGAGGCCACATTTGCGTAAGTTTTTCAAACCAAGTCATTCGCTTCGTTTGCCTCACTGCATAACCACTTTTCATCCGTTTAACTTTAAACTACATTCACTTTTTATAATTTCGTGTTCTCTACTGGCAGGGACTCGTGTAGTTTTTGCTGAACAGCGCAGAAAAAGAGGAAATGAAGGTACAAGAAAGCAGCTTACCTTGTCTTAGTTGCCCAGCAGTTAACAGGGAAAGCTCGCTCACTTCGCCGGCTGCTGACCCGCAGGTCGCGGGTTCAAATCCCGGCTGCGGCGGCTGCATTTCCGATGGAGGTGGAAATGTTGTAGGCCCGTGTGCTCAGATTTGGGTGCACGTTAAAGAACCCCAGGTGGTCGAAATTTCCGGAGCCCTCCACTACGGCGTCCCTCATAATCATATGGTGGTTTTGGGACGTTAAACCCCACATATCAATCAATCGCTCACTTCGCGACTGTCTTCACTCTTCGACATGCTCAGAAAGAAAGCGCCGACGGCGACGCAGAATCGCGTGTTCCAGCCACGTAAAAACAACCTGACGTAGAAAAAAAAGAAAAAAAAAACGACGGGCCCCTCGCGGTGCCTAGACGCCAGCTCCGCTGCCAACAAGAACGAAACCACGCCGCTGGGAAGCGTGACGTTTGCGGAACGTGCCGAGTCATCGGCGACGACACGTGACCTGCGAAATTAAGGCGACGGGAGCAGCGGATTGGCGAGTGGTGCACTGCCGTGCGTTATGTACCGTGTTATCAAGGCGAAGTGCGATAAGGTTCGGTCGTGTCCCGAACGCGCGGTCGGGGTGGTGAAAGGCCGAGAGCGGCCGCGTGGCTGGCGCTTTCCGCACCGACGGTCGCAGCAGCCCAACGAAAAGGCGCGTCCTCATCTTTCAAATAGTCTGTTGCGGAGAGGCTGAGCGAAGCAAGAAGGCCTCTGTCCGCTTCCTGTGCACTCTTTCCGTTCGCCTAATGTTGGAGGTAGCGTTTTCTCGAATTTCCAAAGGCAGTAGAACCGAGAGGCTGCTCGTTGACTATAAGCCATGCATGTTGTTTACACGTTAATTTAATAAACAGCGATGATGTTATTATTAGCCTGGTGCTAATAGTAGAGGTTAGGTTGGAAGCGAATTCGAAACGAATAGCGATTTGGTCGAATAATTTCTAATCGAACTCTAACAGTATATATCACATATTATAGAGAAAAAAAAGAGCGCGTCTGTCGTGACCCAACTAAGCTGCACAATACTGTTTAATATTTGAAACTTATGAGCAAGTGTTATTTTTCTGTTTCGAAGGTGGAAGCACTTTTGAATGGCATCTGGATTTGACTTTCGGTAGAATGCAAGTGATAACCTGCAAATTCGTTGCGTTTTAAATTTTACTATACTTAGAGCATGTAAGCCGGGATAACAAACTTTAATACTTAAGAAATTATCAATTGATGTGCGGGTAGTATGTTCACAAGCAGTGCTTTGTGGCAGTAAAGATTTTTCCTTTTATGAGTGTCTTCACGGTATATCATTACTCCACGGCAGTGAAAAAACCTTTACAGAGTAGTTAAATATGGACAACTACATTATTCGTTCATTTCGAATACTTCAAAATTTTCGATAATTTAAATTCGAATCAAAATGAATTCAAATACTGTAACGCTATTCATTCGAATATATGAAGTGTTGGAATATTTGCACAAGCCTTTATTTATAAATAAGCAATGTCTGACACAGTATCACTAGCAATGTGTTGCCATTTGGGCGAAAAGCAATCTTTGAAATAAAATACCGATACCTTGTGACAAATTTGCTTATTCTAGATTTTAACTAACTAAATGTCAGTCATTTATTTTTTTTTTCAAGAAACGAGAAGCCCCATGAATATAAATTGTAATTTTTTGGAGCAACAGAAATGTAAGTTAAGTCAGTCCAGCGGTTGTTGCAAAAAGGCTTTTCAGCATTCTACATGTACTTGAGTGGGGCCTCCGAGTCGGTTTAGAGTCAAAAAGCTTGTTCTCAGCTCCGTGGATACGAAGTTATAGCTCAAAAAGGTATCCAGGCAGTGTTGCAGGACCACTGTGATGAATTCCATGGAGAAGTGTAAAATACTGCCTGAAATTTGGCTGGTTAGACACTTAATAAGCGTGCACACGATTCCCTTTCATGGGAGGCAAAGATTCATTGCAGTGCCCTCCTCTCTATTAGGTCAATGTATGGAACTGACTTTGTCCCCCTCCCAATTATGCCAATGTGTGACATTTGCCCGCCTCCACAGTGTGCATGCCTATGATCATACATGAAACAAGCTTTGGGGGGGGGGGGCATGAGCTGTCATCCCATTTAAAGGAATATGTTCATTGTGCTGTTCCCATCGAGATAGAGATTGGGATTCAGCAACACTTGTAGATAGGCCTCATGACTCAAGGCAGAAAAATGCAAATTGTATGGTGTTGCAAAACGTCCATGTAATATGTTCATATTACTCTTTTCTTCAGCTGCACTTGGTTAGAAAACCAAGATGGACTTCATTGGATGAAGTAAACAAGGCCAGTGCAGTGCTCCAATACAGGCCACGACATCATTGAAGGAAACTTGATGGAGCCTCCCAGAGCTGCCAGCTTGTATCACAGAAGCCTTGCCAAGGAGGAAGCGACACACTGAATTCTTCTGAACATGGAACTGAATGACTGAATGTGTGTGAGTGTGCATATAGCTGGACAGACCTCCAAAGAAAGGACGCAAAGAGACTCGTGACCGGTGTTTTCAACCATTACGAAGTGGACTGCATCATCATCATGTGTGTGTGTGTGTGTGCTTGTGAATGTGACTGTTTGTCGTCTTAGTTTCACGTGCTTTGCTTTCAATGGCGGACAAGCAGGAAAGAATGAGCTGAAACGTTGAAAGCTTGTTCCAGACTGCAATTTTCAGTGGTGACCCCGTGAGCTTCACCTCGCCACTCCATCATCTGCAACTGCAACCTACTGTGAAAATTTGAGTCAAACTAGAACTGCCTGCTAGCTGCAACGCCAAATTTCAGCTTCAATGTTACACTGCTAGTCTGCTCCTCAGTTTGGCTGAAAAAACAAATTGTTTCCGCAAGGAAATATTGTCACAATGAAAAAAAGAAGGCATTGAATTACAAACGGTGAAATTGCAGAAAAACTAGAGCAGTGACATACACTTGTGAACTTCATGTTACACAATCAGTGGCAGAATGATTATCTCATAATGTCGGCAGTGCATTTCAATCGGTCATTTCTGTAGCACTATTTTAGCACCTAGTGACAAAAACAATTTACAGCACAAAATTTGGAAGACGGAACAAAACTACCATAACCTCTACTGCAACAGTGTCTTCAGGCAGGCTGTTACATAAGGTAATATTGTAATAATGCACGATAATCGGCAGAAGCCGCCCAAGTCACTGCGGCTTTCTATATATTTCTTGCCACTGAACATGTCAAGGCGTGCAAATACCTATTCTCCGATGTTATCTTGGGTTCACTAAGGTTGGGGTATCACAGCCATTTGGTATTGCATAACAGATAATGCAGCTTCAAGCTTTTAAAATGGCACCAGTTGCTAATAGCAGATTTGTCATAGAAGAGAAACAGGAGAGCAGATGCAAAGATAGGCACACAAGAAAACTAGTGTACCGACAACATCTAGTGACAACCTGTTTAAAAAAGTGTGCTCGAGGCTTATAACTGCAATGGACAACCATGCTACACTCAGGTGTTATATGCATGACCATCTGCAATACCATTAGCACTACTAATGCTGTATCTTTGCACAGTTGAGGAGAAAAAAGAAAAGCGATGCGAGGCATGAATAAATCTTACAACTTCACGTCTGACAGCAAGATGGCGCTGACATTGAATGAATGGAGTGGTAATTAGGCGGTGCCTACACACGAATGTCTCCTCTATGCTAAATTCATTTTAATAGAAGGACAACAGAGATTGTAAAGGTGCTATATAGAACCACATGTCGTTTTTCAACTTTGAAGTACTTTACACTGAATGCAGATGCAATGAAGAAAAAAAACACAGACAGAAATGCAGGAATTCTCATGCACCCCAAGTTGTTGAGAAAAAATCGTAATGCAAAGCCAATGTCTGGCTTTAAACGCAATCTTTGTGCTCATGTGAATGGGAGAATGCTTGATTTTGTGGGAAGAAAAACAAACATTTCTGTTTCGTTTTCACTACAAAGAAGCATTTCCAAAGTAATTCTTCCCAAACACTATAACAGGGATGACTTGTCCTTTATGCCCCCAACACTGAAATTTTTTCAGCTAGCAATGCAAGCTAGCGAATGACTTGTCCTTTACACCCCCAACACTGAAATTTTTTCAGCTAGCAATGCTTTCATAAGTGCAAGAGCATTAACCTTGCTAAAGTAGTTTACCAGCATTGAGCTAACTGAAACAAGCCATTAGTGCCATAATATTCTGAACAGTCTAGTACTAAGCTTTCAAGTGTTACCTTTGATTTCGTGCTATCTAATTTTCCATATGAGAAAAGAAAGTGCTCTCGCTTTCTGGGCTTTTGCAATCAGTTGAGTAGAATAATTTCACAATGTGGATGACGAATTACAATCGTAGATTACTAGCTAGAGCTTGCCAAGAAATTTTCACTAATAACAAAAAAGGGAGAAAAATATTACTGACTTGTCTGCAAATCCACTGGTGCATTCTGCTATAAGGATTACTGTGCTGTTCGTAAAAAAAAAGACTCCACAGTTATTTTATTCATAGGAAGCACAAAAATAAAACAGAGATTATGCCAAGTGTGATGTATAGCCACAATTGAGCATTACAAGAACTGAACAATCGCACGCTAACGAGGCCGAACTCGCAAGACTCTCTTTCAGAATCAGCAATTCAGCAAGCATTAGGTATTTTCTGCACCACATATCTGAGCAGGGATGTAAAAAAATGCTAGGCCAGAGAACCCATTTCGATATGCGATGCTCCACAACTTGAAACTAACGTGCACTATCAAATTATTGAGTACATGTGACGGATGTTAGCAGGGTATGTGTACCCATGTGTAAAGAAGCCATCGCCTGTGCTTGTACATGCTGCAGTGTGTATTTATTTCAATATGTACATATTATACAGGTTCACTTCATTCCTCCTGAAGGCATGAACATGCTTGCATTCCTGGAAGGAAGAGAGAAAATAGGGCGGTGAAACTTTAGCGATTGTTCGTGGATGTATAAAAAAAAAAAGGCTGAAAGAAAGAGTGAGGAAACAGCGATTTGTTGCTTACGTGTGTCAAAAAAATGTATATGTACATATATTACATTAGGAATGAAGAAGCAGTCTTTCTTAAAAACGAGAATAAAGTCGATTCTCTGCCATCGTAAAAACAAGTGTGTCTTTTATGCGTCCTCTGCGCAAGTGCAATCATAAACCATGGTTGTAGCTTATTTATTTGATTTATTCAATACTGCGGGCCTTTTCAGGCCTACACAGGAGAGGACATACAAAGAAAATAAGACTTCATATTGCGAGGGCAAAAAAAACGGAAAAATATGCAATACAAAACAACCACAACGATATAACAGTATAAAAGCTGTAAACGAACAATATATGTTTCATTGAAAGAAAACAAAAAAACTAGATAGCATGACAACATCAAACGGTAACATAACTGACACACAGATGCAGGCTGTTAAGCATGCGTAGCAATGTGCGAGTGCATGCGCGATACATCATTTCTGCCTTTATTTGAGCACAGATACTGCAGAACTTATTGTGATGCCTTTAAATGAATTTCCAGCAGCGATGAAAATGATTCTAGTGATTAAGCACTGACGACGTCATGCACTATACAGAGGCTGACGAAAAGGCGCTGTTTTGGTTGACACTGACACCGGGGTTCTGAAAGTTTAAAAGAAATTAGCTGCTGCGAAGGAAGAAATGACAGGAGTGTGTGTCTAAATATGTATGGTTAGTGCAGTAAGTCCCATTTGCATTCCAGAACAAATTTCCTACAGCAAGCTTCACTTCAATACAACCATATAATCCAGCAAGGAATTATAAACGAAACAAGCGATTGTTGCACCGTAAATCATGTCACCCCAAATGCTGTGAATATCTCCCACATTAAGCTATCAATACAACAAACAGTAAAACCTCGTTAATTCGAAGTCACTGGGTTCGCGAGAAATCTTCGAATTAAGTGGGTTTTCGAATTAACAGAACATTCAAACAGTGGGATGCAAGGAACTCAGAACTGTTCAAACTAATCAGTGCTTATCATTTGCTGTGCCAGAAACCTTGCGGCTCCCAGGGTTATGTTTTCCAGCAATACCTGGGCTTAATTTTGCTGCAAACACGGGGAAATGGTAGGCCTCGCTGCTGCCACTGAAAAAAAAAAAAAAAAACCCCGCTGTCGTAATTAACTGAAATGTGCGCCTGCGGAAAACAAGACATCTTCACTGCAACACAGCAGTAACACGCAGGCAACATGTCGCCTGCACCTCGCTGCGTCAGCACGCTATGATGCGACCATTCGCACATTCTTTCTGGTATAATTAGGAATTGAATAACGACCAGTATGACGAAACTCGCAATGTGTTCTGGCTAGGAAAAATTATCCTTTAACCTTTCAAACTTTGTTTGAAAGTTTAGAGGTGTTACTGGCACGAACTCTGCCAGCAGTGCAAAGGTGCGAATTGCTGAAGCAACCGGCAATCGGAGGTTCGCGTACACAATTCCGCCAAACTGTCCTTTATTAATTTCTTAACGATCCCAGAGAGAATGAATGAACCATGACCCGCTGAGATTTCTAGAAACACGCAATATGGTGCCCGCGCATCACGACTGAGCTGCAGTGAAGCGCATTCAGTTTTTCGCAGGCACACGTTTTGGTTGACCACGAGACCGTTTTCTTCTTCTTCTTCTTTTTTTTGCACTAGAAATAGCGAGGCTGGGGTGCTTCAGCTACCACTCATTTGTATCGCTACGTTGCGTTGCCTTGTGGCTATTAAAAGCCGTCGTTTCGGCGGATTTCCAGCGAAATCGGGATCGGAATTAACCGGACTGGTGCCGACCGCCGCTTCAAATTATCTACTGAAACTTATATCGCAAAGTACCGGACCGTGGAAATCCTTCGAATTGAACGGCATATCGAAATAACCGAGTTTGAATTAACGAGATTTTACTGTATTAGTTTGTGATCCCCTTCAGGTTCGACATATGCTTGGTACTGATGTAGTAGAGCGATCAAGCCTAATTCTGACGATGCGAGTTTCTTGATTGCACTCCTCGAACACAGCTCTCGAGAATTTCGTAATTTAATATACTACTTGAACAAGAATGAAACCGTAACAGCTCAGAAGCAAGCCCACCAGCCTTGTTCTCAGAAAATAAAACATTCTAGCCACAGAGTGTTAAACAAATGGGGGGGGGGGGGGGTTACGAGGTAATTTAATGGTCAACAAACTCTTTTGTTTAGTAGCACAGCACCAGGAATCAGCTGACAACCAATCGCAGTTGCTGCTTGTAATGCAAGCGACATGGTTACACACAAAACCTTCGTTTAACAAGGACGACTGTTAGAAGTAACAAAACAATCGATAGCTGCGGTGACACCAAGACACCGCTGGAACTAGTGTTGGAAAATTCACATGTAGCTGCTAGATTGAACAACAGTTCTGAACTTTCAGTGAACTTTCTAAACTTTCAAAACAGCTTACAAAAGCAAAACATTCCAGTTACTTCTAATCTTAGAGCTAAGAAAGTCGGCCTCTATATTATATTAATTGAGCTTAAAGCGTAACTATAAGGATAAGAAATTTACGTCACCTGTCATTACCCATGGTCATTTTTTCTTCCTCTGTCGCCGGGGCGACTGCTTTTGCTTCATTGCAGCCTTCTTCTGCTCTAGGAGCTTATCCAGAACGTTTGCTTTCTTCTTGACGGTCAGGGCATCTCTGTCTATGGGGTCGATGACTTGTCCAATCTTGGCGACAACCTTCGGCGCAGTCAGTTCCCTGAACGATGTCTCTGGGTTCCACAAACTGCCTACGGGGTGGCTGATAACGGACTCAAACTGGCTGACATTGTTGAATGGGAATGGCAGAGCATCGACCTGCAACATGCAAAACATGAATGTCATTCAGTCTTCAGTAAGAGAACGCTGATAAATTTGGGAACAAAACCAGTGAGAAAAAGGCACTGCCAAACAAGACAGATGTCCCAAAGCCTCATACAAAATGAACATTTATTCAAGGTCTCAGTGATATATTCAAATATCTGTGAACATTTAAAAAAAACACAAAAAATAGAGTTACTAAACTACCCAAAAGACAGGATAGGGTACAAGAAAGCTAAAGAAAGGTAAGAAATGATGTTAAAGAAATCATTAAAATAAAATCAGGGGTTTCATCCATCTGCATCTGACCAGAAGGCATTGAGTAGGGGATAAGAATATAGATGGTCATCACCTGCTCATCACCCCCTGGAATTCTAACCAGTGCTCTCACACTTACCAGTGTAGGAGTAGTTACCAATATGTTCCAGCAGGCAAAAAAAGATCACTGAATATTACTATATTTACTCGTGTAATGAACACACTTTTTGTTCGCAAAAAAAAGAAACAATCGGAGCAAATTCGGGGATGCGTTTATTATGCAGGACAAATTTTATAAAATTTTTTTGATAGATCCCGAAAAATGCGGTAATGCGACAACTAGGTAGCTTAGCCTTTAGTAATTGCACGTTAAAGAGACAGTAAAGTCAAATAATTTACGTCAGAGTGAAAGCGCAATGTATGAAAACATCTTATGCGACAATATTATCAACAGCAGTGTCCTACTTATCGAGAAATTAAGGTAAATGCACAAGAATACATGCGCCACAGTAGGACATTCTCAAAATGATACCGATCACGTCAGACGAACCGGCTACAAATAATCAATAGTAATTGATCTAGCAGCACTAAATAAAGAAACTTCCATGCATCAAAAGACGCAATAAAATTCTGTTTGTTCATTTCTATTTCATTCTGAAAAAAGAACCGCCGAACGTCACTATGAAGAATGGCGCGAGTGGTCAAAAAATTCAATTTTTACGTGGTTACACTGGAGAGGTCGTGCCATCTGGCGGGACGCAGTTGAACCAAAACCACGTCTACCATCTCGGAGCCAATGGTAGGAATTTGATCAATGGCGGTTGCTGCTGCTGTGGCTCTCGCTGCTTTCATTCCGTCTACTAGTGTCGGCGACCGTGCAGTAAAGCCGGGCAACGTTGTGCACAGCAACAGTGACGTGCGGACCACTTCTTGAGGCGTGCGATTTGAAGGGCGCTAACCAGATGCGGGCCACTAAAACGTGATTTGATTTCAAAATAGGCCTTCCTTGGCACAAAAGTAACACTACGAGGTTTCTGGATTGCTATGTCAAAAATTAACGTCAACTTTATAGTTGCCTTTAGTGTCCCTTTATAGAGCCCAAGGTGGCCGAAATTTCCAAAGGTCTCCACTACGGCGTCTGCCATAACCACGTAGTAGTTTTGGGACGTTAAACCCCACATATCGATCAATCAAATTCGCGTTTTACAATTGACGTACAACTAAACTGTTTGTAAACAGCTTCTTCGTTGCACTTTATTCATCTTCGGTGGTTGATGACACTATCTCTTGCAAGCTGCCACCACACCACGCGTGGACGCCGTGAAAGCGTTTCGCGGCTATCTTTTTTTCTCGCAATCTTTTAACCGCAACAGTGGTATCTACTGCGATCTCGAGAAGCGCCTAGGAGCGTGCGCTAAGACGCCACGACGCACTTTGCCAACTTCGCAGCAACCTCTCAGGACGACCGCGACGACGCTGTTGACATAGTAGCAAGTAACCAACATTGCAGCGAGCTACCACCCAAGCATCAAAACAAACCCTCGATAACAAGATTAACGACAAAATACGGCCACTGCCTCGCCGTCCACATAAGTTACTGTGGAAAAGGTAGCCTATATCCTGTGTTCCGCGAAGTACACACGGATAACAAGCACGAAGAGTGAATTGCAAGCTAAGCAAGAATCAGGGGTGCTCCAATGTTGCGGAAATCGTCGCGATCTTTTCTGGCAGTCAAATGATTTTTTTTCTAGTTTTACAGAAACCTAAGACGCGATAGCGATAAATGACCCTTCACGACAGCAAATCCTGTCGTCGTCGCTCGAAAATCGCGTGCATTCGGTTGGGCCTTGTAGATTCGTATTTGCAGGAAGCGACCATCTGTTGGCAAGGATGGTTATGTGCCCTTCGCTCGCTCTGTGATTATTGGCTGCGATGCCTCTATACTCGCACCGTTCGTGAACTCTGCTGTGGCGCACAGATAAAAAAGACGGGGGGACGTGTCGCACAGATAGGAGAAAAAAAATTAATAAAACACGGCATGCGGCAGCGGGCGAAGAGGGACAGGGAGCGAGCGAGTGGGGTCAGCAAAATAATAAAGAAGTCACTTTCACCATAAGAGAGAAGCAATGAATTCGATAGCAACATATTCGAATGTTTCACGAAGCAAGGCTAGCATTTTAGAAGCAATATTGATTGTAGTAAACATGCGCTTGTTAAGTAACCAAGTTTCCTTCGGCGCGACCGCAGTAGATCACCAGAAGGCTTGTGTGTAGTGACGACGCTGATATACGGATTGAGGCTGGCAGTCATGATTGATTGGTTGATATGTGGGGTTTAACGTCACAAGACCACCATATGGATATGAGAGACGCCGTAGTGGAGGGCTACGAAAATTTCGACCACCTGGGGTTCTTTAACATGCACCCAAATCTTAGCACACGGGCCTACAACATTTTCGCATCCATCGGAAATGCAGCCGCCGCAGCCGGGGTTCGATCCCGCGACCTGCGGGTCAGCAGACGAGTACCTTAGCCACTAGACCACCGCGACGACGCAGGCTGGCAGTCAACTCATTTAGATTCGAGCTCACGTAACTCTACAAAGCGCTGGTGTAAGAGAGCATGGGCACTGCCGGTACACTTTGACACCCTTTTTTTGCATTGAGAGCCCAGCCCGTAAAACCTCCCACCTGCTGTGAAGGCACCAGCCACACGCTGATTGTTGCTGTGGTAGCACAACCACCACAAGCCCCCCCTCCCCGCCCCCCACCTTCCCTTTGTTCACTAACGAGATGAGCGCGCGTACAGACGACCCTAGCCATAAAAGGGATCTTCGCTCCGCAGAAAGAGGAGGCTAGTGCAACCTTCCCAGTATATATATACATACATATACAGATACGTGAATGACGGCGGCGACGATGGCAAAAACCAGCTGAGACTGTTCCTACAATTCCTATCGCAATAAAATGGAAGAGACACAACGGGCCAGGTGTCGGTTAGCAAGACTGCAGCGGATGATTATAGGGGTAGCGTTGTTACGCCAGTATGTTCATTATGCGAATAAATACGGTGTTTTGCAATGGTACCACATAAAAGCTCCTTATATGGCTAGCTACAACTCGTCAAAAATGTAGGCTGTGCACGCTTCTGAGTTTTAAAGAATATCACAAGGAGCATTAAGCATGGCAAAAGAGTACAATTTATAAAAATGAACATTGCGTTAGTAAACACTAGAAGAAACAGTTCAGGCCAATCATGAGGCCTAAAAGCCCCTTTTAAACTACCAAACCCGGCTATTTAGCCCAGATACGTAGTCTAGCTAGTTCAGATATCTAGCCCCAGCTACCTAGATCCTGTCACATTACGAGCCAGGTGCAATGCTGATGTGGAATTCCAATAATATAAGTGCAACAATGTTGACCAAGACGCTAACTTCGATACCAAAAGCATTCGTATCACATATGAACTTGCCATAAAGCGCGTTCCAGCATACTGATGGATACTGCGAGCGCATCCTTTTAGTATGAGCACGTGTTTAAAAAGTAACAGAAGAGCAATTTCGGACTCTTAAAGTTGCAAGAATGAGTGAGGCAATGCTAATATACACTTCAAGCATTTAAGCACACTGTACCTCTCTCCATTCTATACTCAACATTCTGCATTTAATACAATTAAAGATTACAGCAAGAGTATAACGCTTAGGCCACATACTATATTTATTCAAGTAATGGCTGCAATGCAATTCCAAGGCTAGCCACTACCTCTAGAGTGATGAACATTATGTCAGTTCTACGTTTTGAATACGCTTTGTGGGCACTAATATACAATTCTCCAGCAACTGCAGATAATATTCCAAAAAGTCGGGAAATAAATTATGCCCAAGCTTCTCTTTCCAAAAAAAAAAAAAAAACTATATTTCTCCATTTTATTGTTCTTTTTTGTCCACAGTTACCTTTGAATGTTTTGAGTAATATAGCAGATAAACCAAGCCTTATAAGCTGTCAATTTTATGCTGGACACGAATGTGAAAAGAAATGAGAGAAAAACAAAAAATCGATGGTATGCTATCTCAATTTTTCAAAGGCTAAGTGCAATGTTTAGAAGTGGTCATATATACAGTAAAGCTGAATATACAATACAAGCTGCCTATTGACTGTCAAAAGGACCCCAAGCCTGCACAGCAACGTCGGTAAAATGTTAAATGGGTTAAGAAAATACCAGTTGTACAAACAGCATTTAGTTCATTTGTCTTATGTTGGTGCTGCCATGTCGTATTTGCACCACTTGAACACTCATGCTAAGATAATAATATAGTACACTCAAACCTTAATATAAAGAACCTTAATATAACAAAGTAAATAAAGAATAGTCTTGCAATAAACATAGTGTTAGAAATATACCTTTATAATGCATTTTCAAGTACAACAAACTCATTTTTGCATAAGATGCCACTTTGTTATAATGAGGTTTGAGCCTACTAAGCTCGTGGCGTTACCCCCCCCCCCCCCAAGTACAGTACGATCACAAAGGATGCCATAGTAGGTTTCCAAGTAATTTGTGTTTCAATTTCACCCCCAAGTGTTTTCAAGTTTACCCCCATCGAGATGTGCATGCTGTGGCTGGGAACAAAAGTCATGATCTCGAGTTCAGCAGCTGTGACCACGGGTCGGCAAACTCACTCACGAATAGACTCACTCAGACTACAATAGCGCCGCGAGTCCGACTGTGGTAAATATTGAGGAGGTGGAGTCCGAGGGAGTCCCAAGCGCGAAGTACATTGCGAGTCTGAGTGAAGTCCCGCTTCAACTGACAACGAATACTTGTGACACATTAAGCTACCGTGGTGACACGGTAGCTACACACCGTTAAGCTACCGCGTGGCGGTTAACAGCCTGTGCTTATTGTGACCTTTTTTTTTATTGCGACAGCAATTACATATTTTTATTTATTTATTTATTTAATACATACTGCGGACACTAAGTGGTCCAAGCAGGAAGATATATATATGGACACTCTCGGCTGGATTTCAGAATTGGCGTTGACGTGGACGTCGGCATAGATGTCATGCACCGTATGTGTATACGCATCTATATATATAGAAACGCAAGAAAAAACAAAAATCCAGAAAAAAGACTTCAGTGCGCGGAATCAAATGTGGGACCTCCGCGTTATGAATGCAAGGCATGAACCACTGAACCTCCGAACGGTACCCCCTTCAACGTGCAAACGGCAAGCTATTTATATCTACCATTTACTGCTGTTGGCAGGCATCTCGGGGGAGGGGGGATTATATTTTCAGCATTATCAGCAAGATTCTCTACGCACACTTTGGCCCGCGTAGAAAATAAGGGATTGTACGCTCGACCGCACGCCCCTATCTTGCAGTGGGGAGAATCGTACATCTTGGCTAGCCTCTGGGTTTGGCCAGAACGATTCTGTTGTAGTTACCGGGCTCAAAAAGGTCACTGCAATTATTGCACAGCCTCCGTTTGCAAAAATGGCGCGCTTTTCAGACACTGCGAAGTAACAACTGATACGTTTATTCAAGTTCGTCTGTACCTGTGAGTAAGCTTGTTGCATCATTTCTGCATGAGAAATACAAGGCACGTTTCGATCTGCATGCCATTCTGTGCATCACCTTCCAATTTGTTGCTATTGCGTTCACTGCTTCGCCATTGCGGCAAAACTATGACTTTTTTTTCTACAAACACGTGGCAATGTGCCATACCATAATAGAAACAACATTCTACGCAGGGATACGACGTATTCACAGCCAATGTGGACATATGTGTTAAGTAGGGGCTCACCTGGTGTGCCTCGAATTTTTCGTCCTTGGCTTCGCTGATGATCACATTGCCAAGTGTTCGGTCTTTCCTCGGTGGTGCCGGGGGAGGCTTCACAAAGAACCTATGGGCAAAGCAGCGAAGCTAAGTAGGCAAGCCATGACAATCGCAAGGACGCTTGTTGCTCGTGAAATATGACAGGTCTGCAGGTGGTGGTTAGAAATTTACTTTGTGCTTACAAATAGGGCGAGGTATTTATAATCTACATTTTACTTAGCTAAAAAGCAAATATTACCACCTATATGGTCTTATATAACTGCTTTTATCTTCATCACGGGACGTTCATAAATTGACACAACTTTGAAAAATGCGATGCGTATGAAACTATAGTGTGTATTATCAACCTAGAGAGTCCTAAATCATAACTAATATCAGAACATTGGTTGTGCCCAGTAACTGTTATAAGTGCAGCACTATTATCAAAAGATGAAAAAGGATTAAAAGAATGCTAGTGCTTCTTCATGGGTAAGCAAAGAATCTTAATCATTTTTATGCCCTTTCGGGAGTTGCTGTGCTGATCTACATCATATGCTGATAAGGTTAAATTACAAACACATACTTTGCACCTTTATGAGTCATGAAACTGTCCAATCAGCATAATCACTTGAAATTTACATATTAACTTAATGGTCGTTAGCCAGCCAAGGCATCGTACAAGATGATCGATACAAATTTATTTAATAACATGACAGCATCCCCCGGCAGTGTATCCAGTACCGTAAAAACCCGCTTATAATAAGTTTTTTTTTTTTGTCCCAATATTAGCGTTACAAATTTCTCCCTTGTACTATGTGTGGATCCGAACGAAAATTTGCCAAAAAAAAAAAAGAAGTCGTGTTTGCAGTTTCAGTTTCGTAATAGCCGCGTGGCTACGGCTTAGTTTTTGTATGAGCGACTAAGCCTTCACTTTGTTACCTTTGCGCCTTTGCGTGGCAAACAGGAGCCCTGATGCCATATTTTCCCCCTTAATGGCAGACGTATGCATGTGTGAACCTTGCTTTGTAAATGTGCAACATGCTAGGGCCGCGAAAACAGTACTTGGCTGCATTCAAGAGAAACGCCACCATAGCTACTGAGAAAATTGCAACAGTGCGGCCAGGAGACAGTTTGGAGTCACTGAGAGAAGTGTCCTTGGATAGCGACGACAAAAAGAAGCACTTTTCACATGTAGTGAATAACAAGCACCATAGTCCGAACAATGGGGCATTCCCGGAAACCAAACTTGCCCTGACAGAGTTCGTTTGAGGCCCCGCCGCGGTGGTATAGTGGTTAAGGTACTCGACTGCTGACCCGCAGGTCACAGGATCAAATCCCGGCTGCAGCGGCTGTATTTCCAATGCAAGCGGAAATGTTTAGGCCCGTGTGCTCAAATTCCGGTGCACGTTAAAGAACCCCAGGTGGTCGAAATTTCCGGAGACCTCCACTACGGCGTCTCTCATAATCATATGGTGGTTTTGGGACATTAAATCCCACATATCAATCAATCACAGTTCGTTTGACAGCAGCGGGATGCAGCGATGGAGCTGATGCAGATGAAAGTGAGAGGAAGCTGGTAAGAAAAAAGGGGATGTCAAGCTCTGATGTCAAAGCAAGCAAGCACTGCAGTAGTACTGTGACATGTTCTGAGCTAGCTTTACCCCGCGTCAGCAAGCCTCGATTTCTCAGAAGCTCCATGAAGCCCTGAGCTTCTTGTGTCATTTCAGTGCCATGTTATTATTGTGCCATGCAATTAAAACTTTCAGCAATGCCGATATACCCCACTGTACCTTGACATGACATCACCTTTTGCCATTCACGAGAAGTTAGTGTTCGTACTATTAGTAAGTGTTCGGATGTTTTGCTGTTTAAGTTATTGCATTTTTTGTTGGGTCGTACATCACGTATTATACGCTTGTTTTTCCCAAATAAACTTTAGTTGCAAGTCAGCGCCTGTCTCAGTTTTTTCGTCGTAGTCTCATGTGTGTTGTATCAACCAAGATGAAAGCGTTTGTACTACTGGCAATGAGAAAACGCGTGCCACAGTCATGTTATTGAGCACGGCGGACGGCCACAAGCTCCCATCATATCTCGTCTTCAAGTTCATGACAATGCCAGAAGGTGAGGAGCTGCTGAGATGTCACAATAAAGGCGGGATGAACGAGTACCTCGTCTTCGAATGCATTAAAATCCGTGTGGTGTAGACGACCCATCGCTCTGCCGCCTTTTCCATCTATTCTGGTGTTGGGTGCATTTTGCTGCCATTTGGCCGATTAAAAAAAAAAGGCTCTTAGCGACTGCGGCACGGAACTTGTCGTGATCTCGTGTGGGATGACGTTTCAACTGCAACCTCTTGATGTTTGCTTTAATAAACCATTCAAGGATATGGTTAGGCAATGCTACGTAGAGTCGATGCCTAACCCCCAGTATGACAATGTTTTGAACACCGACCATGCGGCTGAAACGGGCATCACCAGCCACTCTATATAAATGAATTGTAGACGCTTGGGCAAGCATGCCAGGGGTCCTTATGCGACATTCTTTCAAGAAATGCTGCATCTCCAATACCCTCGATGGCACAGAAGATGAGCACGTGTGCGACGGTTTGTCGGACAAGTAAATTTTGGAGGGAAGCGCAGCTGAAGACGACAGCAATAGAGACGGTGGGTCCGTGTTCAATGAATGTTTTCTCAGACCTTTTTTATCTCGTATGACATGTGTGTAAAAATTTTTTTTTTTTTCATTTTGCATCCCTAAAATCTGACCTCGTATTATATTCAGGTTTGTGTTATACGGGCGTATTTACGGAACTTCGCAAGGTTTTCGTAGCCATCACAATATCGCCACGTGCCCTTGTTTCTTTATTCAAATGCAATCGGGTTTCACCCACACAAACTGTTAGCACCACTTGTTCCCAGCTGCGCAGCCATGTTTGGGCAGCTAGCTTTGCGATTGTCTGAGATTGCCCCAATAAGATTATGCGCAAGGCGCGACTAGTCATGTTTATTCGAGAAGACTGGAAGGTTCTAGTATATTCCTGAAATAGAAAACGCCTTCCGCTGGTGATCAGAGTAGCGATGACCGACGTCTGTGCTTGCTGATTTAGCAGCACCTTGAGTGTTGCCTCTTTAACTAGGCACCAGACTGCCTAATAAAGCGTTTCAACTTTAGCGAAGGCATTGTAGTTTCCTGAACACCACAACCACTTGACAATACGTACTGTACGTCCACTCTAATGAACTCACCAAGCAAGCTTTCAGTGTTGATGCCGATTTTGTTTTATAAAAAAAAGATAATGCGAGAGAAAGGAAAAAAAATTTCAAGAGTACTTTCATTAACTAACATGAACAAGATGCAATGCTCTACAAGATGATGCAGAAAAAAAGCCAGACCAGTTCAGGTCATTTACCACATCCGTACAGTGAGAAGTTGCAAGGGATGTGACATAAAAGTAATGTCCTACTTTTCAGCAATTTCTATTTGCCAAGGGTAGTACTACACTCAAACCTCGTAATAACAAAGTCACACCTCCTATGGAAATACCTCGCTATATTCAAAAATTCGTTATAAACATATATTTGCAGCATTGTATCTATGACGGGGCTATTTTTCATGTACTTCGTTACAACCAATAACTAATTTGTTATATCCAGGCTCGTTATATCGAGGTATGAGTGCACTGAAACCTTGATTTAATGAACCGAGATATAACGAAATATTGGTTATAACAAAGTAAACAGAAAATAGCCTCGCAATAGATATATAGCATTACGAATAAACCTTTATAACAAATTTTCGAATATAACAAGCTTACTTTCGTGTAACATGCAACGTTGTTATAATGATGTTGGAGTGTATTACGTTTTTGAAAAAAATACCCGTAAGTGATTCCTTTTTACTTGTCTTCTCCATCCATTCGATGCGATAGGAATCGTGCTGAGTGGAAGCGACATCAGGGCAAATTCAACGTGGGATGCTCGCAGACAAGACAGCTCCGTAAGCCTCACAACAGCAGACTGCAACTCACCTGCGCCTTTTCTTCTTGTCCACCTTGATGCCAGGACCTGCCCAGGATCCCCAGCCGGGCAAGAAAAGGTCAACACCCTGTGGCGTGTCCTGCTTCACTTGCGCTTTCTTCTCTTCCCTGCGGGGAACATGGTTTCACTGACACAGAGAAGCTATAGAGGGAACAGTCAGATATAGCTTAATTTGGTGCAAGTACAACAAATTTTCTGCTGTGATTAAGGACCTCTTATCATTGTGTTACAAAAAGACACTTCAAACAAGACAATTATGCATTAAAGTGGAACGGCCACCATCATCGTGTGCACTTTCACTTCAACAAGAGCGTCTCTTCACGATTCAGATTCGTTTCATACAGTTTTATGCACTTAAGTACTACTGTTAGAATACCTAAACGAAGCTTGACAGGGCAGGTCTCTTAAGAGCGGCCCACCTAGGTTCATTGGATGTTACATTACTGCACTTATCGTGAGGCCTTGGGTTTGATTCTAAGCCCTGATGGCTGAATTTCCGCAATGGTGAATAATAAAGAATTGTAGACAGGTGCTGAAAAATATATGAAAACATCTACTCCTGTATTTACTCACGTACAGTAAAAGCTCGTTAATTAGAATTCCACGGGAAAGCTGAGCAATTTCGAATTAAACAAAATTTGAAATAATGAAAGTGAGCAAAAATGGGAGGATTTCGGGGGTGGGGCACGAAAAATATTTATTGACCAAAAAAGTCGGTGATGACCATCTGCTTCTTTTCTCTGAATGCCACAGCTGCGGCTCCCTGTTCCAGCGCGCGGACGCGGCGCAGGGAATCCTCTTCACGCTCTTCAAAGCTGAAGAAGAGACGCGGCACATTAAGTGCCTCCATCACCGCAGAAGCTGACGGGCGCACAGGCGCTTTGCCATTTTCGTCTTCCTCACCTTCTGGCTCTTCAGCATCAGGCTGCGCACCGGCTGCTTGAGCGATAATGTCCTCATCACTCAGGGCACCACACACCGATGCACCGGTGTCAACTTCAACATAAACGGCAAAACGTACGCCCCGAAGAGTGTCGCGCAATGCCACTGGCATGAGCTCCTCAGCCCCATCCACGTCAACGTCACAACTATCCTGCGCACTTCCAGCTGCAAATCCACTGTGGCGGAAACAGTTTGCGATTGTGGTCGTGGTCACCTGTTCCCATGCGCGCACCAACATGTGCATGGCAGTGAGCAGCGTAATGCCGAAGTCCTTCCTGTCGCCCGCGCACAAAATCATTCGTGAACGAACAACGTGCTTGAGGAACAAAGTGACGCTGCCGGGAGCGGCCTAGGACTGCTAGGACTACTCCGCCGACTCCTCAGCTTCCCGTGGGTCCCGCGTACAAGTGGCGCCAGGCGCTGAGATAGCGGAAGGGCTACAAAAAAAAAAATTGCTCCCTGGATTTTGGAGGCCATACTTTGCTCGCCCTTTGCTCGGAGGCCACTTGAAGCTCGAAAAAACTGGCATCGCCCAAAAAAAGCATGTGTTTTTTTTCCACGAGTATTTACCGCACCCCCAAAAATTGCTGCAGTAATTTTGTCTGCTTCATCCAACCACTGAATACGATAGTACACAATTGACACACGGAGCCTCAATCTAATCGAAGCCAAGCCAGAGTGGTGTGTGCACGTTGCGGAGTTCTATTGTAGCGTATATTGCTGTGTCCTATCTGAGGTCACGCTATGGGGTGACATAGAAGCTACACGGCCACTTTCAAGTTGAAAGTGATTGATTTTACTCTAAACAACGGCAACAGGGCCACCGGCCGACACTTTGGAGTCTATGAGTTCGGTGTTCGCTACTGGCGATAGCAGCACAGGCAGCTGAAAGTCACGAAGGCACGTCAGGCCTTCCGTGTCCCTAAGACTGGGATGGATGGTAAAACTTAATTTCGTCATAAGGCTACTGCGACCAATTCCATGCGAGATGGCCATCAAGTCAAAGGTTGACGGTGACCTGTAATGTCCACAAGTTGAGGCTGCATTTCTTGATTACGTGAAGTGTCTCTGCACGAAAATTCTTAAGACACGATTTGCTAGTGGCTTTCGTGACTGCAAATAAATCTCGCCGTGTGTTGAACTTGTGGTTTTATTGTTAAGCTGAGTTTTGATTGGTATTTCTCAAAGCTTGGAGTTAGTTGCTGGCGTGTGAATCCAGATTTGCAGCCACTTCATTGTTGCTTTATTTTTTTCTTTTGTTTTTTTCACTCTATACGTATTCCTAAAGATTTTCCTTGGGTAATTCATACACCCCCCAACTTTAGATCGGTTTTTCGCGAAAAAAAAAAGTGCAAGGATTATACGAGTAAATATGGTAAATTGTCTTGATTAACACTGCACAGTGTTACGACGTAACACTACACAAATTAAATTGACATTAGTACGACGTTCGCTATGCCCAGGAAAAATATGCTGCAGGACTAAGTAGATTATTGGTATTCTCACAATTATTAACACTCTGCAGCATTGGCAGCTATGCAAACCACGAGTTCAGGTCAAGTGTGACATAAATGGTTATGATTATGAGATAACAGGTGCTGCAAATAGTCGCCGGTTTATCATGGTTGAGACAATCCTTTACAAAGTTCCTGTGCAAATGTGCAGGGCAATACAATGTGCCGCACAGCATAAATGCATTAGAAAATGGAGCTGGGACGAGAAGATTGAAAAACTGATGACAAGGCCTATAGCTCGCAAAGTGCGTGCTGTACTCATCACCACTAATGTAGAGAGTTGAATGACAGCACTCGATAAAGCGAGTTACCTGAAGTGCATCATACTATAAGGATCATGTATACCTTAAGCATATGTGTTTAACACGCTACTTAGGTATGGTGAGCAAACTATGTGAATGAACAATGCACCTGTGTACATTTGATATATGTATATGATGAGGCTTACAGTTTGATTTTCGTACATTTTAAGGCACAGAATATTAATATCAGGCATGCAAGCAATGTGTCCGAACAAACCATCATTTTAAAGACGCAAAGTAAACATCTTGGTTTGCTGCTGATAACCAATTGTAAAGAATAGGCATATAAAAGCATGACAAGATATTCGGCTGATGTTCCGGAATATTAAATTAACCGCCCCAAACCACACTGCGTTATTTTTACCAGACCATCCAAGTGACACTGCAGGCTGTTCATGAATGAACGAAGAATCCATACACATTAGCAGCTACATATATAACGTGATCACCGCAATCACTCACCTGAAAGCACTGATGACATCGTCGTCTGCAAATGCTTCGGCGATAGTAACGGCCTGTTCCTTCTCAATGTCCTCATCATCCAAGGCATCCTCAGCAGTTCCACCCAAGTCCGGAGCCCTGGACTTCAGTATCTGCTGTTTCACCTCGAGAAACCTTGTTGGGTCGACTTCTACTTTGTCTGGCTTCGCTCCTGACTGGGTCGGCTTTGGGACAGAGGATTGCCGTTTTGCTGCCGGCTTGAGCGTTTCCTGTTGGCTAAAGCTTTCCAAGTCTTTCAGAGTCTGCTTTCTTTCCAATGTCTCATCGATTTGAGCTTCGTTTTCAGAGCTTTCAAGGTCTTCCATTGTTTTGTCAGGATCGTTGTTCTCTTCCTTGCTGGCCTTCTCTCGGCTAATAGGTGTCACAGTGAACTTATTGATCTCTTTCCTCTTCCTCTGGCCCGGCTTGATCTTCTTCCTCCTCTTCGCCGCACGTCCACTGAGAGAATCGAACATCCTATCAATGTTAACAACCTCTGGTTCTTCCAAGGGTAGCTTCACAGGCTCGGAGTCCTGCACACTGGCATGGCCTCTGCTCTTTGTTACTTCAGCTAGTTTCCTTTTCACACCTTTCTCGACCGAGACTTGCTTCACTCTGCCAGCGTGCTGTAGCTTTGAAGATGACACACTTTTTTCTTCCTTTTCATCAGTCCCACAACTTGCCGCTTCGGCTTCAACAGCTACTGCCTCGGAGGTTAAGTGTTCCTGCCCATTTTCTGTGCCATCTGCCTGCTTCGCTCGCCCCTCCTCGCCATTTTCATCACCATCTTCCTCACTGTCGTTGTCCAAATTGGCATTGGTGTCTTTTTCATTTTCAACATCTTCGGGAACTTCGGCATTGGATACTGCCGCACTGGGCCGCGCTCCACTCGGTTTCTTTAGCCACGGGTTAGCCGAGCTGAAAAAGCTCGCTTCTAACTCTCCAGTATGCGTAGATGCAACTTCTCCGGCAGCATCGGAATCCATTGCATCCTCGTCGTCAGACGATTCAACTAAGGGCTTCTGTGTCAGCTGTCGACTCAGCTCCAGCTGCTTCAGTAGTGCTTCTCGACTCTTATAGAAGAGAAAAAAAGTGAGTAAGTCACACTGTAAAACTTCTACGAATGTAAAATGAAAGATTAAATTAGCCCAAATGACATTTGACTGCTTTGGCTTTCGTTAAGTATGACCTCAGCTTTGTTCACGACGCTTGTCGTTAAACATGGTCAAGAAGCTTAGCGCGCTTGGCAACCATACAGCACATGTTTCTGATCTCAAACGCAATGCTTCAAGCCAACAAAAAGCTGATGACCTATCACAATAGGTCGCTTCCTTCCTACTAAAGCTTCTAAAGCGACTTTCACTTGGCATTGTCAATGACAATACAGTTGCTGACACAACTGCATCAGCAACTGGGCAGTTGATTGTGACCATGAGTTACTCAGAAGAAAGGCTAGTATGGTCACACAAAATACCTCGAATTTCAGAGAGAAAAAGAATGCATCTTGCCTACCCTGTCAATATTTAAGATACCTTAAGATACACTAAGATACGTTATTCACAAAGGCAAATTACAAAAGGAAAAAGAAACTGTTATAAAAGAAAACACTGCTATCACTGCCACTGTCCTAGCCGACAGGAGATGCTGCATTGACAAAGAATCAGGAAAGTGCAAACAGTGAAATCTTGGTGTATTTATTCTCAAGTTCTTTCTAAATAAGTCTTAGGAAATACACATTCACTGAAAGGTGTGACACTTTTCCCACGGTGTTTCTCAATTTAAAAAACAAAAAAAACCCTAAGAAACACACTGGGATTCTCAAACGAAGATGTAGAAACGTAGTGCAAAGGCACGTGTATATATTAACGAATATTGCAGTACTTAAATTCACTTCAAAATGTATTTAAATCACAAAAATTCTGATGTATTCGAAATGAGTGCATAAATGTTTAATTGCATGTCACACCCTGTAAAAATTGTTTTACTGCCATAAAATAGCACTATACGGTGAAAAAATACTTTCAGGCGAAATCTGCAATTGCACAAAAACCCACTTCCAGAATAAATGAACTTAATACCCTCACATCGATACACTTTTTTAAATTCAAGAGCTTGTTATACCAGTTCAGATACTATAGGTACAGTAAGTTAAAAAAAAAAAAGTAATGCATTTTTTAGATTATCACTTGCATTCTACCGAAATTCAAGCCTGCTGCTGTTTGAAGTTGCTTCCGCATATCTTTGAACCAAATTAAAGAACAACATTCGCACACGCCTCGTTTCAATTTGAAGAAATATTCTGCAGGATGGTGGGGCCATGACAAATATGCTCCTTTTCCTTTATAGTATGTGATATAAACTATTTGAATTCGATTCTAAGTTATTCAACCAAATCACTGTTCGCTTCAAATTCGTTTGGAACCTGTTTCCATATGCCTACCCAAGCCCGAACATAAATAAATGTAATGCAAGTCTAAGCAGCTACGCATAGAACTGAGTTGCCCCCCCCCCCCCCAATTCCTTTTTTTCCAAGAAATAGACTTACCTCTTGGTTGTACTTAGTCCTGAGCATTTGCTGCTTGGCCCATTTTCCTGTGCCTTTATGCCTCAGGGACACTCTTTCCTGCAGGAAGGAACATAAGCTCTAAGCACTTGAAGGCCACAGAGGAGACAGAAGAATACTTTGAGGCTGCCGCCATCATTAATAGCGGAGAGTTGGATAGAACAGGTGCCGATCCCCCCTTTCCCTGCCTGCCTTGCATGAAGCAAAATCGCCCCACCAGTTTTAAATAATGCTTATTCATTTATTCGTGTAAGTGTGCCAATGATGCACCTGTTACTGCAAGCTTAGCAATAGTCTTGAAACAAAATTTCAGTTCAGCATTAGGAGCTACTACTATGACCACGCAAATAAAGTTGTTCCATCTCCCCTTCCACCACAGAGGAAGCGTGTCCTTGATCATGAAGTGAGATATGAGCAGGCAGGAATCATCCAGTGTACTCTGGTGGCCAGAAATTTAAGGGAGGGAATCCTGCCTAAAGTGCAGTCCCATGGCTTCTGTAAAACACACTGAAGGCATGTTAAGTGTAAACAACACTGAAGCAGTTATGTTGAATCTACAGCATCTCACTCTAGAAACAGCTGGCACTCTTTAGGGAATCTTCGTCATCCCACAACAGTTGTAATTGTCAACTGGCTTGGTTGTTTCCTTCCTTGAAAACTCAGTACTTGTTACTTTCCCTTAGAGAATTCTATGTCACACTGATAGAGTGTGCAATGTTTATGACCTCACAGTACCAGTATGTTGGGGTTAAGGCCAGGTAAGGCCTGCATGATATATGACGAATATTCGTTGTTTAAGAAAAAGAATGGCCAGGGGATAAAACTGTGTGGCTTTGAGAGACAAAGGGCACACTTGGGGTGTGTTTCTGCATGGAACACTAAGCCGCCTAGCTTGCCTGTGTTTCCTTACTTGAAAACTGCACACACTCTCATTTTCAGCGCACATCCCATTTATGAATGAAATGTTCCAAGTGCATTGCAATAACACAAGGATACCCCAGATTACCTGTGTTTCTGAGAGTGAAAGGGTAACAAAATACAACAGTGGTAGACCGCTGGCCTCCACCATGCTTTTACACATGTGCACGGACAAAGAAACATTTGGGAGGTGCAACTCCGCTCCTTGAGGCGACCAGATATGATGTCATACTGCCAGAGAACCATTTCGTGCTGACGGCATCTTGTGGCACAAAAGGGAACTGCCGCCGTTTCGGTTTCCAAAGAACCGGTCGCACGCGCTGCTCGCGTTCCGCCGCGATCACGTAGTGGGGACGCGGAACGCTTTTGGCCGCGCTCGTTTTTTGCTCTATGCCATCCGTGCCTGCACTCAGCCGGAGGCATTTCCATTTCTTTTTTTCGCGGTTGTGACTTTGCGCCGCAGGGCACCACCAGCTAAAATGTCTACACCAGAGCATGTAGTTTTTCTATTGACATGGACAGCACGTCCCTGACGGTCAGGGACATGTTGATCGTGCTGAAATGCAAGAGGACTGCAAGAAAACACAGCTGCAGAAACACGAGTGGTCACTCACAAGTCATGATGTGAGAGTTTCGAAGCCGTACAGGACACAAAAATTTCGTTGAACACACTGAGAAACCTGTATCGTTCAAATGATTTCCACAAAGACTGTTGAGTGCCTGTGCAGACTCACCAAGATTCGCTGCTTTTCGAGTTCTTTCAGCTTCTCAATGGCAAGCTCGGGATTCTTCTCCTTGAGCTCTTCAAACTCTTTCATTTCTTTCCTTAGACGCTCCTTCTTCAGGATACGGTGATACCTAGAGGGAGTGACAAACCACGGCAACTAAAAGCGACAGTCAAACGTTAAAATTAAGAAAGATGAACAAAATCGTTTCTCCTCTGCCAGTCCTTCAGCCAAGTACGGCTTTGCAAAAGTAGACAGAGTATATTTACGTCCATATAAAGAACAGAAAAGTGGGCATGTTGGAGGAGATTAACTATTTGCATGAAAAACAAAAAGACAAAAACAATGAGAAGAAACGTGACAAGTATTGAACAAGTGAACACACTTAGTGCTCATGCTGTGCCTCCTAGTATTTGCACAGTTAAATCAGAAGATGTGAAAAACACTCGCTTGGCAATGTTCAGCATTACAAAATGCCTTTTTTTTAATAAACAAGAGGACTGGGACGAAGTCCTCAGAAGCAGCGATCTCCATAAACAACTAAGGGTTGTCCAAAGGGTTCACGAACGGGCAGAGGACTATGGTCTTCAGACTCCCAGAAAGGACGTGGTCCGCAACTGCAACTGTGTAGTTCCTTAACACCCAATAAAGTTTGTTGACTGACTGACGCGCTGACTGACCCAGTGCAGATTGGCACTGCATGGTCACCATTCCTAATCATAGCAGTTACATGGTTATGCCATCAAGCACTTGTTCCATTTCAGCCAAATGCAATGTCTGTAAATTCTCACAAATACAGTGGAAGCTGTCCAGGATAAAGAGCAATCACATCATGGCCTAGATGCAGGAATATGAAGTCCCTAAGCTGGTGCACCTCAGAAGACGGGCTATCTCCTGTCAACCATCCCAATGCATGAAAAGTGCGCAGCTTGTACTTGTGGCGAAAGGATGGAGCCATCAGAAGAGCTAATGTTCAACCTAGCTAAATTTTGCTAGTGGTACTAAGTATGGCTAGACTTGGCTAGGCATGTCATGAGACAAGAACATGTCACACGTCTAGCTATTATGCAATGTTACATGATTTTAGTCCCACGACTAAATATTACAAAATCTTTAGTCACTACTAGATGTTGTGTGATGTTACAGGACTTTTAGTCACGTGACTAGCTACTTCAGGTTACGTGATTTTAGTAACGTGACAAGATGTTACATGATGTCATGTGATTTTAGTCACGTGACTGGCTGTTACATGACGCTTTGCAAATTTTAGTTGTTACGTGATGTTCCGCCATATTTAGTCACTTAACAGACTTGTCCATCATAGTTTTTGCATTCCATGCGTGACAAATTGGTGCACCTGTTCTGGAAGTGAAGCGGAAGTTAAAGAGGACAAAGCAAGCAGATATCGGTATACGATAATAATTTCTGTTTGGTTACCCAGAGCAATGAAAATCCTTAAAGAAAAAAAATTAATCAGGATGTGCACACACTTATGAAAGGTGTATCTCAAGCACGAACACACCGTTCATGCAGTTCACGCTGCAACCTCTGTTCAGTCGAAGGAGTCTAAAACTGAAGTTTCTTCCCTGCTCTTGTGCAAGCTAGAAAGAGGATTTGTGGTCTTATTTAGTAAAAAGCAGGAAATAGCAGGCATCTGGTTATTGCTGTCTCAATACTCCGACAATTAGAAATCTGGTTAATTGAACGTCCTCTTTCAGATTCCATATAGTCCAAATAAAAGGGACACTAATGTAAAACAATAACTTGGTTTAAATTGATAAGTTACACTTTGAGAAATGTAATGTCATTAAGGTCACCATCTTATATTTGAGGAGAAAATCAAGGTTAAAGTTGCATTTTCCAATACTGCTTCGAAATCTCCGCTTGATATGACACGAATTTCAAGATGCATTTTTTGTACTTTTGTGACAACAGCTGAATAAAAATTTCTGAAACCTGACATATAAAATCTGTGGCCCCTACAGATGACAACGTACTTCTCTTTTACCAGTTAAGAACTCTGTGGGACTTAATAGAAGCCATCGAAATATATGACATAGTGTTTGGGTGATGTCTCCACCCTTATTTTCTGTTCGTGCGTTTTCTTGCATATCAAGTGTCTTCTCAAATTAAGAGTGGTATTTTTGGGATGGTTCAATCATAGTTTACTAATACAAAGTGTAAAATCATTTTTATATTTAGTGTCCCTTTAACAAAAATTTACTGTAGAACCAAAGCAAGGGGCCAGAAAATTCAGCCGCCACTGTTCTACTTGCAGTTAAATAGTAGTAAAGCACTAAACACACAATCTAGAAACTGTAGGACCCACTCTCAGTAACAGCAGCTTGTTTTTAAATGAAGGCATGCCTCTTTTACAACACCTATTTGCCTACTTTACTTCAATTAATTTAAACAGCTAATTTTATCTATTGTTTCTCTGACATTACATGAAAAAATCCTTTGGTTACCTTATACATCTAATCTATCACCATGGCCTATCTAACTTTAGATGCAGTTAATAAGCTGACACATTACTTACTAAGTAGCGACTGGTGCCCCCCCAAAGCCCGAACACAAAGTTTTTTATTCAAACCCTAATACATGTGAAGGAGATGTTGAAGTCTGACCAGATTCAGCAAGATATTCAATGAAGTTATTGTTGGCACTTACTTCTTGCTTTTGATCTTGGCCTGCCTTCGAGCTTTCATCTCCTGATAAGACATCAGAGCTCTCATCTTTTTCAGCTCAGCCAGTCTCTCTTTGGCCTGAGTAAGAAAGCAATACAACAGGACTAAAGAAAAGCTTTGAACACTTTGACGACCAATATTTCAAGAACAATAAAAACGAATGCATGTGTTTCAGCTAAGTGTGTTGAAAGTGAAGTGTCACAGAGTGCCCTTCAAGTGCCGCGTGCATATTTCTGTCTGTCATTTGTATTTGTCGATTTTGATATATATTGCTCAATATGACTACTCTTGTAGACACACCACCACATTTCACCGCACGTTTTATGTGCTGCTTACGACAAAATTGGCGAAATAAAATAATTCTCACTTTTTCTAATGCTTGAAACCAATATTTAACATGTGCACGTATTTAAATCCAGTAGTTAGGTTTTTATACAAAAACACAAGATGATCAATTACGAGATTTAGTTAGTCCACAATTATCCCGACATGATGGTGATCAATTATGATATTGCAGAAATTTTAAACAAAGGCAGAGTCCCGCATCCTTCCAAATACAGTGTTCATTCACTAGAAAAAGAACTTCTAATATGAATGATTCTATACGCCTTGAAGTTAAACAGCAACCAATGTTTCACTTTTTAAAATATTTTTTTTAAATGAACAGCATATAAAGAATAATTAGCATCTATCTAAATTAATTGCTACAAAAGCATATTTTGTCACATTTACAAACTGTATTAATTTCATAAACAATAATATTTCGGAAAAGAAGAGACGCCGTATCAACGAAGCTGGGGATTAGATGTATTTAAAACCAGCGGTAATGGCGTGACCAGTTCACCAGCGATCGAGCGGAGACAACCCTTCGTCTTCTTCGTCAGGCACACATGCGCGTCGCCCTCTAGAATATCAATATGCATGCATGTAGCATAACACCCGGCAACACAAGCGCTCGGCGCATCTAAATGTCAACGTCACTAGGAGAGTGGTAGGGCCTCAAGCGCGCAATATGTACAATATAGGTAGCCTGTTGGGCACATGAAGGCGACGGGGTGGCAGGACCAATTTCATATGTTACAGGAGTAACCACACAAAGGACTCGGTATGGACCTGTGTAGCGAGTAAGCAGTTTTTCTGACAAGCCAACTTGAAGAGTTGGAGACCAGAGCAAGACCATAGAACCGGGTGGGAAGTGTACGTCACGGTGTTGTTGGTCATACAAACGCCGTTGCTTCTTTTTTGAGAGGTCAGAAGGCGAGTACGGGTGATTTCGCGTGCGTGAGCGTCCCGAGTGATATGGCATATTCACTGGTCAGTACTGCAGGGGACGGTATGACCGTGTCTAGAGGCAATGTTGGTTCTCGGCCAAACAACAGCAGAAAAAATGGAGAGTAACCGGCAGTGTCATGGCGCGAAGAATTGTAGGCAAATGTGATGTAAGGCAACGCGAGATCCCAGTCGGTGTGGTTGGCAGAAACATACTTAGTGAGAATGTCTGTAAGAGTTCGATTTAGACGCTCCGTGAGTCCATTGGTTTGCAGGTGGTATGACGTAGTCAGCTTGTGTCTCGTTTGACAGGACTGCAAGGTGTCGGCTATGACCTTCGCAAAGGTGCGGCCACGGTCTGTAAGCAGTTGCCGTGGGGCTCCGTGTTGCAAAATCACGTCCTTGAGAAGGAAGTCTGCGGCATCTGTGGAGCAGCTTGTTAGAAGAGCTCGTGTGATGGCATAGCACATGGCGTAGTCGGTGGCCATGGCTATCCACTTGTTACCCGAGAAAGAGAAGGGGAAAGGGCCAAGTAGGTCAAATCTAACGCCGAAGAACGGTTCGAAGAAAGTCACGTGGTTGAAGGCGTCCAGCGGGAAGTGTCGATGGTGTTTTGCGGCGCTGACATTTCTCACAAGCCGTAACGTATCTTCTGACTGAGCGTGCAAGCCCTGGCCAAAAGAAGCGTCGGCGTATTTGGTCGTAAGTGTGTGACACATCAAGGTGACGACCAGCAGTCGGAAGGTCATGAAGTTCATGTAGAACTTCCGAGTGAAGATGTTTCGGAATGACAAGCAGCAGGGCCGGTCCATCCAGATCAAAACTTTGGCGGTATAATACACCATCATGGAGCACGAATGAGCGATGGGACTGATTGGAAGATGGTGATTCAAGGCACTTAATGATAGCACGCAAGGACGCATCGTGGCGCTGCTCGTCACCGATGCATGTCATTTGTGAAAGGGAAAAGACGCAAGACTCGGTGTCGGTGTCAGGCATAGTGCTCGACTCGGCAACTGGGTAGCGAGACAGGCAGTCTGCGTCCTGATGTAGGCGTCTGGACTTGCACGTCACTGTGTAGGTATACTCTTGCAGTCGCAGAGCCCAGCGCCCGAGCAGGCCAGTAGGATCCTTCAGTGACGTAAGCCAACATAGCACATGATGGTCAGTTATCACAGAGAACTTTGTGCCATATAAATATGGGCGGAACTTTGAGACTGCCCAAACAAGAGCAAGACATTCAAGCTCTGTAATAGAATAGTTGTGCTCAGCAGCTGTGAGGAGGCGGCTAGCGTAGGCGACAACTCGGTTGAAGTTCAGGGTGAAAATCTAGGAGAAGAGGAAGTTCTAGGCAGAGAGTACTGGCAGCACAATCAATCAGGGCAGAATGCGTCGATAGGAAGTCCATGCCGAAAATTAGGTCGTGAGGAGAGCAATTTTCAAGCACCGTAAATAAAACGGGGACGTGGCGGCCGGCACTGCTAACACGAGCGGTACACATTCCAGTGATGGCTACAGTTCCACCATCAGCTACACGGAGGGCTTTAGTCGCTGCAGGCATGAGGACTTTTTTGAGTAGGCAACACAGGTGAGCACTCATTATGGACACTTGAGCTCCAGAGTCAACTAACGTCGTCAAAGGAATACCGTCCACATACACTTCAATCAAGTTCGTACTAGTGGGGAGCGTCAATGGAGAATTTGGATCAGTCGCAATTGATGCAGTGCTACCTTCCGGAGCTGCATGGTCTAGTTTTCCATCCGAGAGGACCCATAGTTGACCGGCGACGGATAGCGGCGTGATTGGGGCGATGGCGAACGGCGGCGTTGAGGTGACGGCTGACGAACGGTGGAGAGGCTGTTAGGGACGTCGGAAGAAGGATACACACGACTGAGCGAATACCGACGGGAGTCCTCGTATGGGCGAGAAAAGGAAAATGGGCTCCAGCTTGAAGGCGTCCAAGTGCTGCGGCAGTAGCGGGAGATATGGCCAACTCGGTGGCAGCGGAAGCAGATCGGTTTGTCGTCTGCAGTTCTCCATTCCGTCGGATTGCGGAATCGTGGAAGAAAATGTTAGTCATGCCGTGGTCCATTTATTGTCATTGGTCTGGAGATGGGTCGGGAGACAGAGCAGGCCACAGGAAAGCCGAGCTTTGCGATTTCCTGCCTCACGACAGGTTGAATAACGGAGACTGCCGGAGGCGTGTGTGCGGCGCTATGGTCGAGCGGATGTGGAGGAAATGGTGCCAGACTTGACGCCTTAAAGGAGCCCTCACACCAAATTTCAAGATCGAGATGTGCTCATCATTCGATCGCTTGGTATGCATAGGTATTCTTGGCCGAACTTGAACGGCATCCATTGCGTGGAAGTTATTTAAATACGATGTCAAACAGCGTAGAAAAGCTAAGAAGAAAAAACGAAAAATATACTGCTCTGCGACATCGACACTAGTGCTACGTGATCAATGTGATACATTCCACGAATACCATCCTGAGTGACGATGCCCTAGTAGTGATAACGTGTACGATCCAAGTGTTCTTATCGTGGCGCCGACTGGCGCTGAAGTGCGGAAATGCACTCGCTAGTCCACGGCCAGGCTAATGCCGGGCGAGCGCGCACAGGTGCAGTGTAGCCCGGCCGTGGCTCGTCGCATCTGATCTTCATTGCACTGGTTTGAATGATTTCGTGAAAGTATCAAGATAAAAACCACCTTAAAAGGATTGGCGAAAAAACAGAGCATGATTAAACGTGTGCTTGTCGGTCAGCATGTGGGGGAATCGTTGCGAGTTGCAGGTGAGTTGCAGTCATCTAGTTCGAAGCACGAAAAAAGAGCAATGACGGTCTCTTTTAATATCAAGTATGTGTTACACGTCAACACGACCACAAGCTATCAAAAGTGGAAGAGCATGTACTCAGATATCATCGCTAACAAGTAACATGCAGGTATCGTTGAATTTAAGTTCATCTGTAGACTTTACGTCCACGTAAAAGTGGTAATACCGTGTTAACCGCGAGAGGCTGGATAGGTGGGGCCATCTGGAAGCGCAAAAAAAGAACCTGACAAGCAGGAAACGTATTCTATTTCTCCGCTGATGCTCTTTCGCGGTAGCTACAGTAAACCCTCGTTAACTCGAACTCGCATATCTCGAAATCTCGGTTAAGTCGAAACTTTTTTTCGCCGTGCATTAACCTCCCGTAGGTGCTATGTATTTGCCCCCTCTTATCTCGAAACGTTTTCCGGAGGGAACAGTGGATATCTCGAAATCTTGACAGGGAGGGCAGAAGGCAAAGTCTACTCCCAACAGGAAACGAGGGCTCCGTGCGAACGCTTAGCTCTTACTATACGTGCCGAACGCAGTCGTGAAGGCCGAATTTGAAATTCCCGCGGACGCAGCCGTTTCCTATCAGCCTTGTCAGGCAACTGTGGGAGTGATCACGTGTGCGCACCTGCGCGCGACTTATGCGCGGTGGGCGGCGTGTGCAGCATGCACCCGTCAGTACGCAACCTAGCCCTTGCATGTGCGAGCTGGTATTCTTTGTTTTCCTCGCTTTGTTTTCCCCGTTACCGGAATGCTGTCGGATGCCAATATCGTTGAGATGGCCGTGAACGACGCAGATGATCATGCAGATGAGGAAGAGCCTCGAGAAGTGCCTACGACGACAGAAACACGTAACATGCTGTGCTTGCTCCGCAACAAGGTCGAATGCAGCGGTGGCGACCAACGGCTCATGCGATGTGTTGAGCAACTGGAGAACGCCTTTCTCGGACCGAACGCTAAAGCGAAACAGGCGAGCATCACGCAATTTT